TTCGGATCATCGCCCTCGCTCTGCTCGTAGCGCCTATGCAGTTTAGCGGCGAGGTTGCCGAGCCATTCCACTCGGCTGTCTTGCCAGTCTTCGATCAGAGGCACAGCCTCGATCAGTCTGTCCATGATGTCAATGGAACGGCTAAGGTCATCCAATGATCCGGTCAGCTGGAAGCTCTCGTAAAGCCCGGCCGCTAGCGTGTTCAAAGTATGGACCTCTAGCCCGGGGTCTTGCAGTATGGTGCCTCTGGGCTCGTTCAGAATGGATGTGGCTTGTGACGAGGCCTTCACTGCGTCATCGCTGAGCTGGATCCACTGCTGCAAGTCCTTCTGTTTCGCGTATATCCTGTACCGGAGCGATAGGGCCATCGCATAGTTGTTCCCGCGATAAATTCGGAGGGTGTTGTTCTCAGATGTAGCAGGGAGCGCGTGGAGGGTTTTAGCAAGATCGATAGCAACTTCCAAAGCCTCTACGGAGGGTGACTCCTTGAATTTCACCTCGAGGAAACACGCAAGCAGCTTGTCTCGTGTCTTTTGGCTGTTTTCACGTTCCCCCAGAAGGCTTTCAATGGCCAGGCTTGTCTGAATTGCGCTCTGTAGACTGGCGGGAGATCCATCGCCGAGGAGTTCTAGAGTGTCTATTTCCCCATATTCCACGTCTTCCGTGCTGTGTAGCTGGTTTAACTCTTCCGTGACGAGTCCTAAAATGCTAGGTCCTCCATGATCTAAGCTTCCCGTGTTCCGTAAGTGGCTTAATTCTTCGGCGAGGAGTCCCAGGACGGCAATTTCTCCATCTTCCAGGTCTTCCAAGTCTTCCCAGCCTTCCAAGTCGTATGTGTCGCCTGATTCATCGTCGGTAGAGGGGGCGCCCGAAGCGGGATCGACGTCATCACCCAAGGGCAGGGCCGGATCTGCCATCTTGAATGAGGGATGAGGACTACTAATAGGCTGTAACTTCACTCGAGCTTAAACGAGTACCAGGGAAGACGAACGGAAGAAGTGTCGAAAAGTGCGGCTACTTCTACCTATTTTGAAGGCTATAAGAAATCTAGACGAGAAGTAACTTCTATGAAGATGTGCGGGAGTTGTGTGTCTTTATTCAACTACATGGAACTTCGTGTTTGACACCGGTGATGCCTTCGTCGCTCGCTCTCAGTGATCATGTATGCCACCATCTTGTTCTTACCATCCTTCAGAGACGAGAAGAGAGGACGATTGGAACACCATCCATCAACTCACACTCATTTCACCCAGCCATCTCGTTGAAGGCTCATGCATGTCTGGTCTTCCTTCACATAATCCAGGTAAATGCGCAAGTCGTGGCGTCGCTGCAGGGTGGGTGGGATGCCCATCCCCCTGACGTGGCCCAATCGCACTCGTCCGAACTCTGCACTTTCGCCTCGCTTTCACGATTTTTCAAGTCATCATGGATGGTTAAGCCTCACTTCAGAGACCAGTGTGGTAGCGCACTGGCGTCGTACAGCATCAACTACGAGGCTGGATACTCGATAGGGATTTCTGCTTCTGCTCCCTGGAAACATTCGCTGGGACAAGAAGTGCTTAGTTTAACGGTCAATCCGAGCGCCTGCAATAACTACGTTGCCACATGGATCCATGGCCTCGGTTGATTTTCTGGAAACGGTATTTAGGAATGCCGACTTGTCATTTTCAATAGTGATTCAATTGCCAAAGGGGCTTCCTTGTTATCCACCAAAGTGGCCCGGGCATGTCACCAAGAGATCCGACCGTTCTGTTTCGTGCCAGGCGCAGCGAAAATGACGATCTGGAAGCGGTCCTGCTCAAGGAACAAAGACAGCAGAGGGAATGCAACTTGCCTTAAGCGACAGATAAGCTGTATTGTCCGTGACCAGCTGTACGCAAGAGATTAAAGGGGTTCCAGAAACCGGATTCATCATTCTTCTGCCTACTAAGATGCCAATTCTATAGATGTGTGAGAGGTGGGTTCTTGGCGAAGAGGCTCTGTGACGTTCCGTAGGTGAGGGAGCGGGTGAACTCCTTGAGATGACCGGGAGGGTCGGTTTTGGGGGCCTGGCTGAATGTCAAGTGGAAAAGAAGCTCTGAGTTTACTTGGACCAATTGTCCAATTGAGGGAAAGACTGTGCCGTGTGAGACGTGGTCTGGTTCAATGCGTCGACGAGAAATCTGAAGATGGATTGAACAAGCTGATGAGCACGTGACAATAAATCTGGGGAATCAGAAAGCCGCAATACACGAGTTTTCATCCCAAGCTTCATTGGTCGACATCGAATTCCAGCTCTCAGCATCTTCATTTTTCGCATTCTCATCCTTTCCTTTCTTAATCACGGCCACGCCTATGGCCCGGCCGATTGGCTTTACTTAATTGATATGAGCTCACTTTCAAGAGGCAGCGCGCTGCTGCGTCGCACCCCGGGTCGCACCCCGGCCCGACCTGGGCGAACCTGGAGGACTGTCCGGTCTCAACAACCAGCTCTCAATCGCCGGGTTCATGATGGCGCTCCCCAGCCAGAGATACCTAGACAAGAACAGCAACCACCGCGACGCCCGCCTGTCCTAGGCCTCCTTGCCGCATTTGGTGTATCTGCTGGGGCTTTCTACTACCTCTACCCCAAATTTGCCAGCCCAGCGAAGGAACCTGAAGCTCCTAAGAAGCCTAAGAAGTCTGCTCCCAAGGTTGTGACGCCGGTAGAGCTTCCGACGGCTGCTTCGCTTGAGAGTGAGCCGGCTAAGAGTAGCTGGGATCATCCCGGTGTCTATGCCTGGGGCTCGAATGCCGGAAAGGTCATTGATCCGACCTCTAACGAGGCTGTTATTAAGTCTCCTCGCAGAATCCCGTTCTTCGAGGATCAGATATTACGGGACTTGAAGCTGAATGCTGACTATGGAGCTGCTATTAACGAGAAGGGCGATCTCGTCTTGTGGGGAACCGGTCTTTCTGTCACTCAGCCTGGGCCCGTTATGACGCTGCAAGGCAAGGACCTTGTCAAGGTGACGCTCTCATCGGACCGGGTCATCGCTCTCTCTTCGAATGGCGCCGTGTACTCTGTTCCTGTCTCTCGACAGGACCAATTGACCGGGGCGAAACTCACTCCTAAGGGCTCCTTCTGGGGCTCGCAGCAACCCGACACTATCAACTACCGATTGCTCACGCCCCAGACACTGTCGGGTAGTGAGAAGGTCGTTGACATCAGCAGCGGCATTGAGCATTGTCTAATGCTTACATCCAAGGGCCGCGTCTTCTCTGCCGCCGCCAGCGTCCTCGAGTTCCCCTCCAAGGGCCAGCTCGGCGTGCCCGGTCTAACGTGGCTCACCCGTCCCGCCGGCGCTTACGACCAAGCCCACGAACTGACTACGCTTTCCAACACCCCCGTTGTCCAAATCGCCGCGGGTGATCTACACTCCGTCGTTTTGACCAAGACCGGCAAGGTCCTCGTCTTCGGCGACAACATCTACGGCCAGCTCGGCTTCGCGACGAACCGCGGGCACCAATTCGTCGACACGCCCACCGAGCTCCAGCTTGACAAGCTCTATGCCAAGACCGACTACATCCCCCGCGCCACGTCTATCGCAGCGGGCGGCATGACCACCTTCTTCACCGTCGACGCCACCAAGAACCCCACCGCCTCCTCCACTGCCCTCGCCGCCAAGGACACCCCCAACCAGACCTTCGATGTCTGGGCCTGCGGAAGCGGTCTCTTCGGCACCCTGGGCACCGGCAAATTCGTCCACGCCGCCCCTCAACCCACCAAGGTCAAATCCCTCTCCTCGGTCTTCGAATTCGACGAATCCACCAACAAGCTAGCGCCCGTCAAGATCTCCCACCTGTCCGTCGGCACGACGCACGCCGCTGCCGTCATGGACGCTAAGGTTTCCGCGCGGCGCGCGCGCGATAGGACGAATCGCGGCAGCGACGTGCTCTTTTGGGGCGGGAACGAGCATTACCAACTCGGGACGGGGAAGCGTACGAATTTGAATGCGCCTGCGTATGTAGCGGGCTTGGATTCTTCGACGAGGAATACAGAGGAGGCGGTGGTTGCGAAGGGGGGTGATCAGCGGTTGTTGTTGGCGCCGAGGAGGACGGTGAGGTTGGAGGATGGGAAGGGGAGGAAGGTTAGTACGGAGCAGAAGGTGGAGTGTGGCGGGCTTGTGACGGCTGTGTACTCGTCGGTGTAAGAGGAATGGTTTGTTGGATAAAAAGGGTTTGTAACAATATCAAGACGATAATCATGTATTTTATCTATTCTACTCAACTCGTGGATGGGAAAACAAAAAAGAAGAACTTGCCGAGGCTGCAATTGCTATTCATCCAAGTGTGTTGCCGCTGTTGCTTCTGTCGTACCAATATCTGCCAGCCTTCAACATCACCGGGAAAATACCCCTCGACCTTTCGTGCTCAACTATTCTCCCTCTTTCCTAGGACCACAAAAACCGAAAAGAACAACATATAGACAATAATAGATTTAACGACAGACGCCAACAAAAAAAGGAAACATAATGACGGTTAGACGGTGAAAATGGCAAAAATAGTCGATCAAGCTGGGACTCGAACCCAGAACCTTTGCCAACTTCCTGGCGACTGAACCGGAAAGCAACGCGCTACCATTGCGCCACTCAACCCTGGAGACGAGTGGTGTCTTGAATGGATTGTTAGAGCTGTGCTGTTTTCCCGTTTTGGAACCCTGGTAAGGAAGAAAGGGAAGCAGTTGATGACTAACCACTCCATATGCGTCGACACATCCAACAATTGAAGCTTGGGCCACACGAGTCTGAATCTGGTACTGCTGTTGGCAACATAGCATTGCTTTTTCCTTTTCACTTCGTCCGTTTTACCTTCTTGCCATTGTATCTCTCTTTCCCACGCTAGCATCCCCTGGGAAGACCAGTTCCAGGTGGTAGTCTCAACAAAGGCAATAGACTCCATTTCGCTGGCTAGCGTCGTCTGATAGCCTAAAAATAGCATCATCAACAAAGACGCCTGCCTGGACGGCTTCCTCTCTGATGATGAAAACCCGCGATAAGAAACCCGCCCCAAAGGATGATAAGCTGAGCAAGGGGAACAAGGCCATACCCGTCAAGACGAGTTCAAAGAGGAAAAGAGTCGAAGACGATCATGTTCACGATCATGTCACAGCTAAAAGGACCAGTCGTGGCGGTAACGCCAAGACGAAGACCAGGCGCCTTGGTAGTTCCGTCCTTCCCAAGCCTCAGAAACCGATCCCCACCGCCAAGAAGCAGGAACGCAAGGTTTCCGAGACGGTGAATGAGGCACCGAGGCAACCTCTTGATGTTTTCGTCTTTGGTGAGGGTTCAGGTGGAGAACTGGGGCTCGGGAGCAAGATCGTCGAAGGTCTACCGTTAACTGATGTCTCGAAGCCCCGCCTAAATACGTTGCTCTCTTCGGCGGATGTTGGCGTGGTGCAGATCGCCTGCGGTGGCATGCATGCTGTCGCACTCACAAAGGACAACAAAATTCTTACTTGGGGCGTGAATGACCTCGGTGCCCTAGGTCGCAATACGAATGTCCCCGAAGAGGAGGACGACGAGTTGAATCCCGCCGAGAGCCACCCAGGGCCGATCGATACATCCGGCCTTGATCCGTCGATAGTATGGGTTCAGGTGGTAGCTGGGGATAATGCCTCATTTGCTCTGACCGAGGATGGCAGGGTCTATGGCTGGGGCACGTTCCGGTCCGACGAAGGCATCATAGGATTCAGTGACAAAGCCCGGATACAGGCCACTCCTGTTCTTGTCCCCGATCTCAAAGATATTCGACGACTTGCCATGGGGACTAACCACGTGCTAGCCCTTGATGGCAAAGGGAAGGTGTTCACGTGGGGCGCTGGCGATCAGAGCCAGCTGGCTCGGAGAGTCGTCGCTGGGCACGCCAAGTCCGCCCTTAGACCTGCCAGCATTGGACGTCTGCCCCTGCGCGGTGCCAAGGCTGTCAAGATTGCCTGCGGGTCTTACCACAGTTTCGCTATTGACCAAGAAGGCCGTGTGCATGGTTGGGGCCTCAACAACTATGCAGAGCTCGCCATTGCAGATGGAGCAGGAGAAGATGGCGCGGCCGTGTTGAAACCGTCCTTAATCCACGCCTTGGAGAATTACAATGTCGTCGATATTGCCGGCGGGGAGCACCATTCGCTCGCTTGCACGGCTGATGGAAAACTACTTACCTGGGGCCGGATGGATGGCTGTCAAGTCGGCCTCAGAGATGAGGTTTTTACTGAAGATAACACTATCTATGATGAGCGGGGCAATCCTCGCATCCTCGTGGACCCCACTGAGTCGCCAGGTAAGGGAGAGATGTACACTATCGTATGCTCGAAGAGGCTAATCTAACTGAATTCCTCATATTAGACCTCCCGTTCATCTCACTTGTCGCTGCTGGGACAGATCACAGTTTCGCAGTTACAAGTAAAGGGAAAGCTTACTCCTGGGGTTTCGCAGATAGTGGCCGGACGGGCCATGACGTGGAGGCCGATGTCGAGATTCCGACGCTAATCAACTCGAAGCCGGTCCGGGAGAAGAAACTGATTTTTGCGGGGGCTGGCGGATCATTTTCAATCCTCGCTTCCGCGGCGCAGGACGAGTGAAAATGTATGACTCTACGCCCTCAGTAGTACATGGGAACCAGCTCTGAGTTGATCGGCGGTTAGAGCGGTTGCGGTATACCGCGGCGAGAAGGGAATCCAGATGAGCCATTTTAAGGGATATGCGAGAACTTGGCAGGACAGCGGTGGATGCACCAACCTGCCCTGCGGTTCACTACTGCTGTCGTTGCTATCTCCGACACAATCATTGCGTCGTTGGAAGCGGGCGATGTCGTCGGCATCAAGGAAATGATCGGTCCAACGAGGGAGAGTTTATGGGTAGCACCCGCCTCGGCGCGGATACCATACCATCTAGTGCACAGGCTACGCCGCTGACTTTAGCATGCTGGGCACTTCGACCGACCCCACGCGATACACGAGTGAGTCCGTTCAAAAAGTCGGCGCCCTCCGCGCCTGTACCAAAACATCTTTCTCTTCACTGCCCCTATTCCGTCGCTTTTATGGGCTCATGCCAATGGCCTTCGCGCAGGCCTGGACTGGTAGCTTTCCTCTACCCCTGTTAGATGAGATGAAACCTCGTCATGGATGAGCGTATTGATAAATTCACGGAGCGTTGGGGTGATGTGAGGGTCGGGGGACTGGGAGGGTATCAAAATTTGGGTTGCGAAGTGTGAGCTGAGCAATCTTTTTGCTGTTGGGATTTACAACCCCCATGTCTTCTGGGTATTCGAGACCGGGAAGAGGAAGGCGTGGGATGGGACCGAAGAGAAGATTGAAGGGTGAACATGAAATCGGGGGAGGCCATTGAAGAGGGAAATAAAATGGAGGAATAAACCCTTGAGAGGGGCCGTATTCTTTGATGTATTTCCTGGTACTGCTTCCCTGCCTGGTAGACACCAGATCTAAATACTGGAACGGCGGATATAACCTTTTCTAGCTCCCTTCCTCCATTTACACGCAAACCCTGTTGCAATCCACAGCTCCCAACTCAGGATCACACCCATCCGCAGGATCCTCAACACAAATCAACCCCTCCGGACACGGAATCCCAAAATACTCCCCCCCACAAGTCCTCTTCTCCACGCACACTCCCAAGCCATCACACGCCATCCCACACCCTTCTGCCCTCGGGTCATCCACGAACACATATCGCTCCTGGAACTTCAACGGCCCTTCCTTCCTATCTCCTCCACAAGGTTGGTAACTCGGCATGGGAACGGCAGTGCACGTGGCCGTGGGTTAACACGTCGTGGGGTTATTACGAAGTATTATTCCGAAGCTGTCGGAACGGGGTATGCTGCGGTAGTGGCAGGGACGCAGCGGCCGGCGCAGTTTTCGCCGCGGGTCTGGGGGCAGGACGGGTCCAGGGCGGAGCAAGACATGGATTCCGGGCAGGGGGCGATGCGGAAGCCGCAGGGGCGATTGTCGGAGCTGGGAGCAAGATTTGCTGCGGTTGCGGAGGAGAGGAGAAGAAGGGCCGCTGGGAGGAGGTGGAGAAGCATTTTTTTTCCTTTGTGGGAGTGATGAGAGATGTGCTAAATGTCTTTAAGGTGTCGAGTTTGAAGCTAAGAACTTGGGATTTCTTGAGCGAGGAGCTAGTCAGTGACGATGTCGTGTCTTTGACGATGTTGCGCAGTCACAGAGAAAGGCGGGTTAATAGGCCGGTTTTATACATGGACGGCGCACCTGCTCTCCGAGATTCTATCTTCCATTTCCAGAATACCATGTTTCCCATTCGATTTCCTTCAAGAGATGACAGTAAATTATCCCATGGTCGCGCTGGAATATATTAATTAATATAAACCGCATCATTATATATCTCGTATCCGAGTGTGTCGGGAGAACTCGGCCACACCCACACCTTAGCGAGCGTTGGACTGCCCGACCCTTGCACCGTTGCCGGTGAGTGTCGCCGGGTCGAGCTGCGGACTAATAGCTCTTGGCTTGTTGTATATGGGTTCGGCCAAGTCCATGATTTGGACAAGTCCTGCAGTGGAATAATGAAACCGAAAAATCGAAGCAATCGGCTGTCGGCCTCGGGCCGGATTGAGGCATTGGAACGAGTTGAGTGGAGTTTCCTATGTACTACTCTGCTTTTTCTTTGCCCCGGCTGGGGAGATTAGCGGACGGGACGGGCCGAGTAAAGAATGGACTCGTGTTGCTTCTGTTGTGCATGAGCTGGAGGGGGTAAGTTGGGTCTGTGAAGGGTGTAAGTTGAAGTTTTCTTTTCTTTCTACATTCCTCTCGACGCTTGACCGTTTCTCTAAGATCCAGACAGCGATGATGTGATACCAACACTGCCAATGTTGTCCTGGAACTTCGGTGCTCCCCCCGCACCAGCGCCCATGGCCGGAGTCGATCCGATCCGGCCCGCAACGAACGCCGAGATCCCAGGCCGGAGCAGACCACGGTCAGCAGTTGGCGGGATTCTGCTCTCAACATACTTAATTTCGGGGCCTGAGTGTCGGTTAAGAGGTCTTATAAGAGCTCGACGAATCATGTCGCCTGGGACCGCTCGGTTGCCAGATTGTGGGCGGGCACCTTGCAACTTGCACCCGGACCTGAGCGATGGGCTTTCCTTGTTCTATTGCTCGAGAGAAAGGGCTGGCTTGTCGCTCTTGTGTCGGCTAGATCAATCCGCAGCACATTTTAGCAGGACCATCACCATCTGCCTCATCATCACTATCCTGCTAGATCTAGTTCACGGCCCGCAGTCCTTTGACCTAATGCGGAGAAGAAACGATAGCGCCATGGCCACTCAACTAGATAGTCGAGAGACTCCCCACTTACTGAAATCGTATTTTTCTCCATCAAATACCACAGGAACTCGCCTAGAATCCTTCTGCGGACCGATTAGAGCCCGCCGGCCCCATCCTAGTTTGGATTCGGCAAACCAGGCCTCCACTGAAGCTCCACCGCTAAGCAACTCGGCCTTGTTGGTTTTTTTCCATTTTAAGAGTCATCTGTCCCCAGACTCTTTCTACGGAGCAAGTTGAGTGGGATCTAGGTCATCATTGGCACTTCGTACGATAGTATTCCATAGGTGTGTCCTGTTTCGTTTCCTTCTTTTCGTCGGCCCTTTTGCTCCGATGCTGCTTCGAGCTAATCAGAGAGGATGAGATCGAATCCATCAATCGATTAAAACGGCATGTCACACCATACAACGCCTGGACATTGGGTTATCGTGGCACGTCTCGCACCTTTGGTAGGACCGGTAAGAAGCGGCTTGCTTGTCAGCATGTGGACTCGACATGAGGGTCTACACCGCCCTCGAACTTGTTATTTCGGTTGTTCATTGGCATAACGGATCATTAGGGCAGTGAAAATTGAGACCTGTGCATGGACAATCTTGATATTGTGGATCATCGGTGGTCGAGAATCAGCGAGACGCAGCAGCCCAAGAGGCATAAAAGCAAAGACCCACGTATAGGCAACGACTTATAGCATCTGGTCTCGGGAGTTGATGCTTTCTTATCGTCGAAATTGTGCCCTGCGAATAGGACTTGATTGCGGTGGCGCAGTCGGTCGGTTCCCATTAGGTTTGCCATCCCGACCTAAGCCTGTCCACATCGTGGTAGTATTCTTGAAGAGAAGAGGTTAAGCAAACTAAACTATATTTGATAGGGCATGGCGACGATCCAATCCATTGATAGTGTTGTGGAGGATATTTCGTGGCGCAATTGACTTCTGTCTGCCGGGGACCTTTGCCAAACCAGGATTCACGATTTTTCCATTTCCGGTAAAATCCACAACAGCAGCAGAGTTTATCCAAAACGTTGCTGCCAACGGAGACTCTTTCAAGGGGATCAATGATCTCAAGGGGTCCCATTTATACAGTTGGTCCGGTCGCGCAATGGCGCGGAAACGGAGGAATGTTATGTCCTTTATGGAGTGTAAGATGGGCATCTGACATCGATGGGAGCGCAGCATCAATGATTCATCTTTCATCTTGCCTTCAATTGGTTTGAGATTGGAACTTAACTCGGACAGGACATAATATTTAAATGTAAAAAGAAACAATGAAAAAAGGGGGACCCGTGGGCAGCCTGTTCTCCTATTCTTCCATTCGGTCAGCCTCACGATAGCCTCGTCCAAACCCCTCGTCCTGACCTCCGAAGCAAACAAAGGTCAAGCTGGTGTGACTCCCTGACCGAAGCTTGTCGTTACGCAGTGACATTTGAATCGTCTGAGTTGTCTTGGCATGCAGGGTCATGACCATGTTCCCCAGTTTATAGTTCAGTGCTAGTGAGAGCTGAAAAGCCCTTGACAGTAACCCAGACGTCACTTGTCGCGATTCGGTTAGTTGGGGCTGTGAAGGCTCCAACTGCAGTCAGGCAACTGACTCTGGATTGGGACTTTGAGTCCGATCATGCTGGGAACTGGAATGCGGCTGTGCAATGCTTCCTGACGGGATCATCCCACTCTTTCAAGGCAAAAATATATTATTTGGAGAAGGGAGAGCGCATGTTGTAGTAGATTTATCTTTGCTGAATTCCTCCCGATTCTCGTGGGAAGTCGTTGCGCTGTGTGCATCTTATCGTCGAAAGCAACATCGCAACATCATCAATTATATCGTGATCCCACCAAGCCACACCGGATCTCGCCAATTGAGCTGGACTCTCTCAGCCCTATACCGGAACATTTACGCCTCCAGCGTAACACAGCAGCAGCCATGGCACGCACCACTCCAATCAAAGTCCTCAACGTTCCTTAATGCCTCTAACGCCGTATCCCAGGTCCGGATTGATATCCCCTTTCTGTCAAAGGCCCGGTCGCCCGCCAACCAACAACCGGATGATGAACCCACCTCGCCCACAGCAACCCTCTTCGAACAAGAACCCGCCAGCGAGGTAACCCTCTCCATCCACCCCGTCCCAAAATACTCCGGCGTTCTCATTAAAGTCCAACCGCCACATGCTCCCCGACCACTTCCCAATGCCGACAGCGATGAAAAGGGCAAAGGTAAGTCCACGGCTCCGACGGCGGCACCGGAACACCTCCCCCGGACTCCCTGCGACATTGTCCTCGTCATAGATGTCTCCGGCTCCATGGGGAGCGAGGCTCCCGTCCCCGGTGGTGGTGCCGGAGACGAGCCGAACTACGGCTTCTCGGTGCTGGATTTGACCAAGCACGCGGCTTTGACCATCCTCGAGACACTGGACGAACGGGACCGTTTGGGGATCGTGACGTTTGGTAGCTCGGCTAGGGTGTTGAGGGAGTTGGAAGTCATGACGGAGAGTAATAAGGCGGCATGCAAGGAGGCCATTCTCTGCATGAACCCGCATGGGCTGACGAATTTGTGGGGGGGAATGTTAGAGGGATTGGCTCTTTTCGACGAGGCAGAGCGGCAGGAGGGAAGACTCCCAGCTATGATGGTATGTCTTTTTCTGCGGGGGCGAATTGTTATGGGGATGGTTTTGCAGTAACGCAAGGAGAGAAACAACGTTGAACTAATCGGGTGGTTTACTTCTAGGTTCTTACCGATGGGATGCCGAATATGCAGTGAGTTCTTTTTTCCTGCTTCCTAGAGCGGGTGGTGCTTGAGGGTATCTTGAGAAAGGGAGCTAACATTGAACTGTTGCTAGCTGTCCCTCGAGAGGCTACGTGCCCAAGCTGCTAGAAAGGAAAGAAATCATTCCTGCCATCCACACATTTGGCTTCGGCGACGAGCTTCGATCCGGACTCCTCAAGTCCATCGCCGACGTTGGGCGCGGCGGCTACTCCTTCATCCCAGACAGCAGCATGCTTGTAGGTGTTTTCATTATCCCCTCGAAAACCACCCCCTCTACAACCTTTCAACACTAACGAACGAGAAACATAGGGCACCGTCTTCATCCACGCCCTAGCAAACCTCCAATCAACCTACTCCGACAAAACCGCTCTCCGCCTCCGTTACCCCCGCGGCTTCAACCTCCAAACCACCACCGGCCTCGTAGCCGCCGCCCCAAAACCGGCCGACGTCGAAGAAGAGGACGGTCGAAAATACACCGAACTCACCCTTCCGCTCGGCAACCTCCAATACGGCCAATCGCGCGACATTTTCCTTCTCGCCCCCGACGGTCTCGGCACGGCACCTCATCTCCCGTCCTCCGCCGTCGAAGCAACGCTCACATTTTCCTGCATGACCGGCGACGTCCACACCGTTACCGCCCGAACCCCTCTCCGCCTCGATTTTCCGGCGCCAGGATTCCCTGACCCCGCTGAGATAGCCTACCACGTCTCCCGCTCGCGCATTTGCGAGTATCTAGGCTCTCTGTACCGCCTCAAGATCGATGGCGAACACACGACGCTGGACAGTCAGGAGAACCTCGCAGAAAACGCCCCCAAACGCCTCCAGGCCGTCAAGAGACTCGTCTCCGAACTCCCAGCACGCGCTTTCGCCGATGACGAAGGCCCCAACGAGTCGTTGCTCCACGAATTGACGGAGGAGAAGGACGGACAGATCCCGATGGGTGTGAGTGCGCAGTATTTCGGGACGTGGGGTGCGCACTTCCTGCTCAGTTTGAAGTCTGCGCACGAGAGGCAGATCTGCAACTCGTTCAAGGACCCGGGTCCGCTGCAGTATTCGAAGGATAGCCCGCTATTCATCCAGTGTAGGGATGTTCTGGATAACTTGTTCGATAGCCTGGAGCCTCCGCCGCCGTCGCGGGAGACTACGTATAAGGGCCATTACGACATGAGTTTGTACAGGAATGCGGCCGGCACTTGTTTTGCGGGGTCTACGCTTGTTCGGCTTCCAGGTGGACGACAGATTGAGATACGCAAGCTAAGAAGAGGGATGGTCGTCGTGACACCTAAGGGGCCGAGGAGTGTGGAAAATGTGCTTGCTACACCGGTGGAAGATGAGATCATGTGTCGGATTAGCGGAGACGTTCTCGTTACGCCGTGGCATCCTGTTGCGAGGAGGGGCACGTGGCAGTTTCCTGCCAAGATGGTTGCTGGGAGGAAGAATGAGAGTGATGTGAGATATAGGGGTGTCGTTTATTCGGTGCTCTTGGAGAGGGACGAGGATGCCGATGCGCATGCTATTTCCGTGGGGAAGGGTGATGTTTGGGGCGTTACGTTGGGGCATGGGATTGTGAAGGGAGGGGATGTGAGGGCCCATGAGTTTTTTGGCGACTATGAGGCTGTGAAGAAAGCGCTGGAAGTGTTGGCAAACACTGGGGCGAGGGGGCAGAGTGCTGTCACGGGAGGAGGAGTGAAGAGGGATGCGAGGGGATTGGTGTGTGGGTTCGTGCCGTATAAGGGTGCTGGAGGGGGTTTGAGAAGGGATGTAAAGAAGGGGAGTATCGAGAGGAGGGAAGTTCGTGGTGTGTCTACGAGGTGCTTTTGAAGTTCCCCGTCGCCGTCTATGCTCGGTGAGATCCGGCTAGCTCGATCTTGAGCTCTTGACCTGATGCCAGCCTCGACAAACACTCCCCTTCATTCTATTATTTCCCCAGGCAAACAAGGGGACACATATCCTGTCCCGATGGCATCATTCTACCGAGGCTCGACTACCTCGCCAGTTGAGAACGGGCAGTTAAACAAGAAAAAAGCGAACCCGCAATACTTCTTCTCTCACTTATATCTTGGTGTGTCCGTATTCAGTTATGAGGCCGGTTCTCAAAGCCTGGCGAGCCTTATCTATTTATGACCCCTCTCTTTACCTCGTTTCTTTCTTTCTTCCTTCCTTCTTTACTCTTTCCCCATTTTCCCTCTTCTCTTTTTCCCTATTTCTTTTTCTTTTTTCTTCAATCAAAGTTCCCGGTCTTCTCAAATGAACATCTGAAGTTGAAAGGGGAAAATGTGCTGCAATTGCACTTGGATATACACAGGTACCAAGATACACAAGTTTCCGAGATACCCAAGTTACCTAATATGAACAGCATCCAAATGTTAAGGCCTAACTCCGCCAACCCGGTCAGGGTCTGTCCCTCCCTTGTGCCTTGGAAATGGATGCCTGCCGAGAAAAGGTCCCGGTGCCCATCCCTATTTTCTTGCCAGTCCCTCACACCTACACTACTTCGTACAATCTCTTGGCAAGCAAGGATTCTTACCCCATCGCTTGGGCCAGCCTTTGATCCTACTGATCGGCTTCCCCTTAGCCCCGGAGAGGAAGAAAGGAGCTCTGAATCGAACCACGGGGCAGAAACGGCTGCCTCAGCCTAAGAAGTGACGAAACATGGCATCACCTCCGTATTTATACATCAGAGAAGGGTCCATTGAAACTCTTCCACTCTTGAATGGTAAGAAGAGTACGCAGAGAGGTGTTGCCAGTTTCAGAACTCTCGGACTTTGCTACCAAAAGCGCTCGAGGCTTTTGGGAATGGTGGACATCTACTTCACCCTGAGAGAAACGATCCAATGATGCCCTCTCGGGCTTAACGGTGTGTAAGGGTCCATGTAGCATCCAGATATCACCGCTCCCTCCGACGCGTCTAGACTACGGCCCTAACCACGGTGTTCGGCTTCGTAAGCTTATGCGCGATAAACAAAGTTCCGCAAAGGGGGTAAGAATATCAGATAGGGAAGAAGAGCCCTCGAAATTGACAAAATCTCGTTCATCAATGACCCGTTTGAGTTACCATCGCCGGGGTGTTGATCGGGACCGAAGCCCGGGATGATGACTAATTATCTCCGACAGCCCTTGGAAAGATGATGGTGACGGAGAATGCTCCGTATGGGGTCGCCTTGTGCAAAGTCCGATGATTTATGACGCGTGTCGCCCCTTGCGTCCGATACGAAGTACTGCCGTGTCGGACTTTGGAAAAAAGTAAAAACAAATATGCACTAGCTGGATATTGACATGCGATGTTCACTCGCCTCGCGTGGAAGTGGAAGAAACCCACGATGTTGTTTGTAAGTTGCGTTTGATTGGTAGAATTAATTGGAGCATCCATGGAATCGGGTTTTAAGGTTGACAGAGATAAGATGGCTGTCGGGTTCTTAGCGGACCCCGAGAAAAGGGCAAGGGTAAAAAAGAGGCGGAACATCCAATTTTCCGCGGTTTTTCCAGCCATGCGATGGGGCTGCGATGGGGCATTCCCGGACCCTTGCGAAAAAAAGAGGGACAACAAAAAAAGCAAGATCGAATCGGCTTGATTGCTAGGGTTGGGGGGTGGGGGTGGGTCGAAGTGGAGGTGTGGCTTGGGGACCTTGGAGTCAAGTTGAGAGCCACTTGCCGAGTCAAGCCTCGTACAGGGGACGAAGTACTTTTTGACGGGTACCAATTACGAAGTACGAAGGCAGAAGGTGTGAGACGTGCTTGGTAGACTTTTTGAGAATAGTTTTTCCGCTCAACCTCGTTTTCGGGTTCGGAGGTTCTCCATCCCCCGTGGCACTGGAAGGCTGTCACCATCTTGAAGGGAGGGAGAAAAGCAACTGCAAACGCACGCCAATATACCATTATTAACATCATGATGCAACTCACCCGACAATCTGGGTCTCAGGAAACCTGGAACTGTTACATGTGCACGGAAACTTCCACGGAAACATATCTCGCGGGATTTCCCTCTGGAACGAGACATCGTGTGATGGTGATTGGGTCCGAGTGCGAGCGGGCGAGAGAAAATGTATTCTCAGTATCATCGAATCCCACTCATCTTCACTCCAGATTCGCAAGTTTGAGGTAATAATGACTCATCCACGCCCTGTCAGCAGGAGATCTGCGCTGGAAAGATACACTTCACGTCGAAGTTTCAGCAAGTGTAAGATATCAAGCTGGTGGACATGAGCAAAATTATGACAACTCAGAGCCAGACGACAACTATTGTCGGTGTTGTCCCGACGCTGGGCGGGGAGGATTAGTGAAAAAGAGGGTGAGATTTGGCGGGAAGTCGGGAAGATCAAGACTCCGAGGCGCTGGGTCCACCAAGAATTTTTGGGGAAACTTCTAGCATATCTTCCCGTGCCTGGTGCACTCGAGAGTCGGTGTCAGCGCAAGTCGATCGCTAGCGCCACGCAAGACATGAAGTACCTGTACATCCTTCAGCGCTTTCTTCAGAATTGAGAAGTTGAGCCTTTGGCGAATGCGAGGTTCACGTTAGCTGGTGCTGGCGTTGCCTGAGCCGAAGGAAACGAGGGTAGGAGCGGGGCAAATGATATAAACTTGGATTTGGATGCTAAGGCTGTTGATGCCGACTATACCTTTGTTTGAGCATGTTTACGAACCAGAATGTGGTTCCCGTCGACGCATAATTCAGCCAATATCAGATGAACCGTATGCTTCCGCCACTGGAATGGCATCAATGTCTTCTCCCGTCTCCCGGCAGTTCGCCTGCTCGCATCGCAAATCGCAATTACTTCACAAGCTGCTTTGTATGAGAGAAAGACAGCCTGGCGGGGTTCCGCCGCTTTGCGATGATGCGTTCTGATTTCAGAACCAAAAAAGTGGGTTGGCAATGTGCCATTCCCACAAGTTGATGTTAGTTGTGGGGCTTCTCCCCATCAATTCGATGCTTTCGACCACTATAAATTCTCGAATGGCGAGTGCCTCGACTGAACGCGACTCCTTGTCCACTGTCGTGTGGAGAAGTGGGAGTTCGGAGGCGCAGCCCAGGCTTAATCTTAACCAGGAGGCTCTTGTTATTAATGTGGATTTTAAGAAGTTTAGTTGGTCGGCATGCATGATGGCTTCGTACAGACAACACTGTCAAACAATAATAGCTGGGGGCTATCGTCTTTTAACCCGGAAGCGACTGTCCTTTCTCAATCAATCGAGATACAATACCCGGTAATGGTATATGAGTATATTAGTTGGATACCGTTCGTCTGCTTGGTAGGAGTAGCCATTTTGTATGCAAATAAGTACGCCTTTCCAGGCAGCTGCATCCCTTCTGAGCAGTGCCCAGTGCCTCATCTCACATCATGCCCTTGCAAATTGGATTGGTGAGGCAATTGCACTTCACTTTGGAAGGGTGCAGTGTGACGTGACTGCCCGCCGGGTTGTGGAGTAGTCGCTTAGGTTCAGTGTCGCCGAATGAGGATGGATTCTCCACTCGGACAGAAATATCAATTTGGTAGGGGTGCTGGGATCTCTTGGCAGGTGGAACAATCCGGGAGAGCGAGCTCCAGGATCAATGATGCTTTTCCCAGGGCAAACACAGCACGAGCAACGGCAGAGGTCCTTCCTGTACTTGTACTTCGTAGATCCGGGATAGGCATCAATTGATCCGTGAGAGAAGCACCTTCGCTTCGTTCTAGCAGAGACTCCGGCAGAGGTCAGACGTGATCCGGTGGGGTGACGTGCGTTTGCCTTGAGACTACGAAGTACTTCGTACATATTCCACGTTGGACGAAGCACGAAGAGCAGACCGCGGCGGACGGAGTTAAGTGTCAATTCTGTCCCAATTGAGCGCGGGATTCCGCCGCTGCAGTTATGGGCGATTGCATCAGCAGCTGGTGCGCGTGCGAAGTATGAGTACAGGTCGCACCACCCACACCCCCAGGGGTGCAAGGCACATGCGAGGACTGTGCTGCGTATGTACAGTAGCCTTCAAGATAATCTCTGGATTCTGAGTTCAATTTTTTTTCCCTTTCTGCTTAATTTGGAACGCCTTATGATTGTGATGGTGAAGCCGCTGATATGTCATAAACGGAACAGACAAGTACGAAGCCTCCTTCCTTCTTCGAAGTTGCCCCTGTCCGAAATCTCGTGGACTTGCAGGTCCTGAATGGGCAGCACGTGGGAAGCGTGGAAAGGAGTGTCCCAGGCTAGGAAACAAAAGCCTACAGAAGGTACCGGGTACAGACTTTGAGGTCGGTGGGAAGGACCAGGGGCGAAAGTGGAGGGAAGCGGAGGGAAGTGGAGGGGCGTGGGTGGGGTGGAAATAGGGGCGGCGTTAAGAGACTTCGCGACTTCCCAGGTAACATCGGTCGGAGAAGGCAAGGAAGGAAGGGTGTGTGGAATGGAAGCAGAAAAAAAGACGAGGCAAAACAAAAAAAAAAACAAAAAGAGAAAAAACCCCTTCGACCTCTGCTGTCTAGTTAGTCCGGGGAACGGAACATTGCCTGGCCCGGTCACGGTTGCCGAATTCTTTTGGCAGTCATATTTCAAGGCGTGCCCATCCCTTCGACTAGTCTTCTTTTGCCCAACTCCAGTTTCTTCAAGGGGCTCTTGGAGATCTGAGAACTTTCTTCTTCAAGTGAGGTCAAGTTAGTTAAACCGTCAACTGCAATTGACTGAGCCTTACTCTCCCCTTTCACCCTTTTCCCCTTCTATTACACCTAATACTTTTATTCAACTCATTCTTTTTCTTATTACTTCCTTTTCTTCGTCCCCTCCTTCCTCATACTTCTAAGACCTGCGCCTGCTCGGGCTTCTTCCCTAGATAGAACCTACTCACAATATAATTATATCACGAGGGGCAAGATTCTGTCCCCACAGCTTACCCAAACCTCTCTATCAGGAGCTCAGCGCGACATCATTCGACAGTCGCATAAAACCTGAGCTCCTCGCGGCCCCACAACCTTCAACGACTTCCGCACTCTTCGGTGTGCTACTCCCCTAGACATCATCAACGATCGACAGCTAGCGAGATGGCTACCGACGAGAAGGTGGGCCACGCCCCGGCCGCCAGCATCGATTCTGCAAACCAAGCCGGTAACAGAACACGCGCCACCTCCGAGACCGAAATCGTCCCTGGCGATGTTTCACGCGATCAGTCCCCTACTCCCATCGACAAGCCCCTCGACGATGACGAGGCCGAGCTCGAGCGCAGGAACTCCATGGTCCAGGCCCTGGCCAGGCAGTACACCCGCCAGTCCCACGTAGGAATCACCGGCAACCCATTCGTCGCGGACGAGAAGTCACCTCTAAACCCCGCCTCCGAGAACTTCAAGGCGAGCGCCTGGGCTAAGGCTGTCGTCGACATGGTGGTCGGATCGGGTCATCAGTTCCGCACTGCTGGTGTCGCTTTCCAGAACCTCAACGTCTTCGGTTTCGGCGAGGCGACCGATTATCAAAAGGATGTGGCCAACGTCTGGCTCACCCTGGGCAAGTACGCCCGCTTATTGACTGGCGGCACCAAGAGGCGCATCGACATTCTTCGCTCCTTTGATGGTGTTGTTGAGAAGGGCGAGATGCTTGTCGTGCTTGGTCCTCCCGGTTCCGGCTGCTCCACCCTGCTCAAGACAATTTCTGGAGAGACGAACGGCTTGTACATTGATGATGGCTCGTACTTCAATTACCAGGGCATGACTGCCAAGGAGATGCACAGCGCCCACCGCGGTGAAGCCATCTACACTGCCGAAATCGATGCTGTAAGCCCGAAACCCGACTAACTTACAGGTGTGATCCAAAGCTAACTCAAATTGCCTCTCAGCACTTCCCCCAACTCTCCGTCGGTGACACCCTTACCTTTGCCGCCCATGCGCGTCAACCCCGGAGACTCCCCGAGGGCGTTACGAAGACCATGTTCGCAAACCACCTCCGAGACGTCGTCATGGCCATGTTCGGTATTTCCCACACCGTCAACACTCGAGTGGGTAACGAGTACATCCGTGGAGTTTCCGGAGGCGAGAGGAAGCGTGTGACCATTGCCGAGGCTTCCCTGTCCGGTGCTCCCTTGCAGTGCTGGGACAACAGTACTCGAGGTCTTGACAGCGCCAACGCCATTGAGTTCTGCAGGACCCTCCGCCTCCAGACTGAGCTCTTCAACAACACCGCCTGCGTGTCTATCTACCAGGCTCCTCAGTCTGCCTACGATCTCTTCGACAAGGCTACCGTGCTTTACGAGGGTCGCCAGATCTTCTTTGGCAAGGCCACCGAGGCCAGGCAATACTTCATCAACCTCGGCTTCGAGTGTCCCCCTCGCGCCACAACCCCCGACTTCCTGACCAGTATGACCAGTCCTCAGGAACGCATTGTCCGACGCGGATTCGAAGGCAGGGCCCCCCGTACCCCTGACGAGTTCGCCGCGGCATGGAAGGCCAGCAACGAGTACAAGGTCCTCCAGGCCGAGATCGAGCATTTCAAGGACAAGCACGCTCTCAATGGCCCCGACGCCGAGGCCTTCCGCGCCAACAAGAAGGCCCAGCAAGCCAAGGGCCAGCGCTCCAAGTCGCCCTTCACCCTCTCCTACATCCAGCAAGTCCAGTTGTGCTTGTGGCGCGGTTTCCGCCGCCTCATTGGTGACCCCAGCTTGACCCTCGGTGCTCTTATCGGCAACTTTATCATGTCTCTTATCATCGGTTCCGTCTTCTACAATCTGGATATGACCACCGGCAGCTTCTTCAAGCGTGGTGCTCTGGTGTTCTTCGCCTGTCTCATGAATGCCTTCTCTAGTGCTTTGGAAGTGAGTTAGATCCCCGTTCTCCCCTGAAATTCTACTAAGATACGAAAGACATATAAAAGTAAAACGCTGAGGCTAACCCGAATGACAGATTCTCACCCTGTATGCCCAACGCCCCATCGTCGAGAAACACGCTCGGTATGCCTTGTATCATCCCTCAGCTGAAGCCGTAGCTTCTATGCTGGTGGACATGCCTTACAAGGTCATGAACGCTATCGCATTCAACGTCGTGTTGTACTTCATGACGAATCTCCGACGTGAACCTGGCGCTTTCTTCTTCTTCCTGCTGATGACCTTCACGACTGTCCTTGCCATGTCAATGATTTTCCGAACCATCGCCTCGGCATCACGAACACTCTCGCAGGCCATGGTACCGGCCGCTATTCTCATTCTCGGTCTCGTCATCTTCACTGGTTTCGTCATCCCCATCGATTACATGCTGGGTTGGTGCCGCTGGATGAATTATATCGATCCGCTTGCGTACGCTTTCGAGTCGCTCATGGTCAACGAGTTCCACAACCGCCAGTTCACTTGCACGGAGTACGTGCCCCCCATGATCGGCGCCTATGCCGACGTCGGCCCTGCGAACCGTGTGTGCACGGCTATTGGCTCCATTGCGGGATCGCCGTTCGTTTCCGGCGACGACTACTTGGAGTCTGGGTTCCAGTATCGATGGTCGCATAGGTGGCGAAATTTCGGTATCCTCATCGGTTTCATCCTCTTCTTCCTGTCTACGTACATGATTGCCGCCGAGCTCGTCTCTGAGAAGAAGTCCAAGGGCGAGGTTCTCGTTTTCCGCCGTGGCTACAAGCCCGCCTCGCTGAAGGAGAAGAAGTCGGATGATCCTGAGGCTATGATGGCCCAGGTCGGTCCTATCACCACCCGCGATGCCGATCCCACTCTTGCCGGTCATTTGCAGCAACAGACCTCGGTCTTCCACTGGAAGGACGTGTGCTACGATGTCAAGATCAAGAAGGAGAATCGCCGGATTTTGGATCATGTTGACGGTTGGGTTAAGCCTGGTACCCTGACGGCGCTGATGGGTGTTTCCGGTGCGGGTAAGACGACTCTGCTCGACTGCTTGGCCGATCGAGTTTCCATGGGTGTCATTACCGGTTCCATGCTTGTCGACGGCCACCCCCGTGATACCTCGTTCCAACGCAAGACCGGTTACGTCCAGCAGCAGGATCTCCACCTCCAAACCACTACCGTCCGCGAAGCGCTCAACTTTAGCGCTCTCCTCCGCCAACCCGCTCATGTCCCTCGCGAAGAGAAGCTCGCCTACGTCGACCAGGTCATCAAGCTGCTCGACATGGAAGAATATGCCGATGCTGTCGTCGGTGTTCCCGGCGAAGGTCTGAACGTCGAACAGCGAAAGCGTCTTACTATCGGTGTCGAACTTGCTGCTAAGCCTCCTCTGCTGCTCTTCGTCGACGAGCCCACTTCCGGTCTTGACTCCCAGACTTCCTGGGCTATTCTTGATCTCCTCGAAAAGCTCACCAAGAGCGGCCAGGCCGTCCTCTGTACGATCCATCAGCCCTCGGCCATGCTCTTCCAACGCTTCGACAGGCTCCTCTTCCTCCAGAAGGGCGGTAAGACAGTCTACTTTGGCGAGATCGGTGAGCACTCCAAGACGATGATTTCCTACTTTGAGCGCCACAGCGGGCTCAAGTGCCCTGAGGACGCCAACCCCGCCGAGTGGATGCTCGAGGTCATCGGCGCCGCGCCGGGTTCGGAGACGGATCTCGACTGGTTCCAGACCTGGCGCGAGAGCCCCGAGTACAGAGGTGTCCAGGAAGAACTTCAACGACTGGTCGACACACGCGGCCCTGTCCCTACAAGGGAGGAGGATGCCGGCAGCTACCGCGAATTTGCGGCGTCGTTCCCCCAGCAGTTCCGCGAGGTTTCTCTCCGTGTTTTCCAGCAGTATTGGCGTACGCCTAGCTACATTTATTCGAAGATTACTCTTTGCGTGCTTGTGGTAAGTTCTATTTTCTGTCAACGACGTGTCCTTTTTTTTTTCATCTTTTTCTTTCACTGGATTCGAATTTTAACTTGGTGTGTGTTTCAACCTTAGGCTCTGTACATTGGTCTCGTTTTCTTAAACGCTCGCAACACTATCCAGGGTCTCCAGAACCAAATGTTCGCCATCTTCAACATTCTTACTGTGTTTGGTCAGCTCGTGCAGCAGACTATGCCGCATTTCGTCATTCAGCGTGATCTGTACGAGGTTCGCGAGCGACCGTCCAAGGTGTATAGCTGGAAGGTGTTCATGTTGTCTGAGGTCCTCGTGGAGCTCCCGTGGTGTTTCCTCCTCGCTGCGCTCATGTTTGTCTGCTGGTACTACCCGGTCGGCCTGCACCGCAACGCCGAAGCCGCTGGGCAGACGACGGAGAGAGGCGCGCTCATGTTCCTCTACCTTTTGCTCTTCCTGCTCTTCACCTCGACGTTTACAGACTTCATCATCGCCGGGTTTGAGACGGCCGAGGCAGGCGGCAACATCGCCAACGTGCTCTTCAGCTTGTGTCTCATTTTCTGTGGTGTCCTCGCCAACCCTGACACCATGCCGCGGTTCTGGATCTTCATGTACTACATCTCACCCTTCACGTACATCGTGTCGGGCATGCTCTCGACGGCGGTGGCCAACACCAACGTGGTCTGCGCCGCCAACGAGATCCTCCACTTCGCGCCGCCACAGGGCATGACGTGCATGGAGTACGTCGGCCCCTACATGGCGCAGGCGGGCGGCTACCTCGTGGATCAGAACAGCACGACGGAGTGCCAGTTCTGCGCCGTCTCGGAGACGAACACGTTCCTCAAGGGCGCGCGAGTCTATTACAGCGAGCGGTGGAGGAATTTCGGCATCGTGTGGGGATACATTATATTTAACATTGTGGGGGCGTTGGTGATGTACTGGATCGTGCGTGTGCCGAAGAAGGGTGGCTTGTTCGGGAAGAAGAAGCAGGAGTAAAGTTGGAGGAACGAAACAAATGAGTTTCGACGGGTGGTTGAGGTTGGAGGAAGTGAGGTGAAATATTCCTCGTGCTGTTTTTGTCTAACGGCCGACAAAATTTCTTTTTCTACATTCTCCAAGAGCCCGGTGGGTATCTCTTTTTCTTTTCCTTTCAGTCTCTTGCCCCTTTGGATCGTCTTTGCGGTCCATTGGCATGTCCTCGGCATCTGTTTCCTTTTTCTCAGTGTGTTTAAATGGAACGGGAGTATAGAGGTATCCCTCGCCCTACGGATATAGAATATCTTTTTTGTTTTGAGTATCTGTCCCTCTTGGTTCATGTTTGTCGGTTATGGCATCTTGTTTTCTTGTGTTTGATAGAAAAGAGGGAAAAATCAGAGCGGAGAGGGTCTGTTTATTGCCTTTGCCAATGTTCAGTATGGACATATGGGATGAATTGCGTATAGAGATGTAATATGATGCAAAAGGTTCTAATGAATGCTCAGCGCTTGCTGGCGAAGGTGATGGAGGTGATGTGTGTCGATGAGAACGAAATGTCCCTCGAATAAGATGGGGAGACATTCTGCTCCTGTTGAGCATTTCAAGATGTTGATCAACTACCATGATCAACTACCGAAGTGGTGTTTGCTCATCCTAAGGGCGTCGATATTGTTGTGCGACACGAGCTTTTAAAGAATTAAAGCTGCCATCCCTGCTCATGCTCACTCGATTCTCACTTCTCGTCTTTTGACTTCTCTTTCTGTATCCGTTCCAGCATCCTCTCGTTCCTCATGGCCGTTCTTTTTCTCTTCTTTCCCTCGCGGAAGACGTCTCCTTCACAAAGGTCACCCCGGGAGGAATAGAGATCTTCGACTTTCCCCAAGGATCCCTCCTCCGTGCACCTGTTCTTGAGCTTCAAACCAAGGCATGCTGAGACCTTGTAGTGAGATTTTACATACCATGGGAGGAGGCGGAAGGACTCTGCCAACTGAGATGGCTGAAGTGTTCAGACTAGGCTGGGTTGGCCAAACGGTTGTTCAATTCAGAGCGCTCAGACGGCTGGAAAATCCCTATCGGAAGAGAGCACCGCGAGCAACTTTATTTTTTGTAAACTTATGTATTTATTTTCATCTTGTATTATTATTTTTCTTCAATATCGCTACGACCTGTCCATAATGTTGTGAGCCAGTGGCTTTCCTTTGTACTTATATAGTACTCCACAATACAAATTACCCTACAAAGTGACATAAGAAGTACCTCATTTACCATGACGCTGTCAACTTTCCGCGGACCCTTGACAATATTTCATCCCTTCAGCCTCGACCCTCAACCGAAACTCAAACCCAAACCTCTCACGCACTTCTAGAATCCTTCTCCATCCCTCCCATTCTTCACCCTTAACCAGGGCCCTCAACTCCAGCTTCCCCCGTCCCAAAACACCGATGGTATGGACGCACAGGCAAGGTGGTCCGATGATCCCCAAGCCTCCCGTTTCATAAAAACGGACCCCCCCGTTCTGCCCCCGCCCGACTCGGGGGAACCGCCCGCGATGAAAAAGGAGAGGGGGAAGGGAGAGACGACCTGCATTATGTGAAGTTTGGGAGGGTATAAGACGGGATTTGAGGCGATCAATCGGATGATTATGATGTGGTTTTTTCGGGGAGGGAGGTAAGGGGGTTTGGTTTTAAGATATTTTTGCGGGGAGCTGTGATTGATGCGATGGGATCTCTATTGCTGGGGTCGGACTGGAGTTCAGATTAATATAACCTGGAGCTTGGCCTTTTGGCGTGAAATGGTGGACCTCGTTGAGACTGATGAAGCTTTTCCTGTGTTGAGTGCTGAGCTGCCACGAATGCCCAACATCCAATTTGGATTGTTATTTTATTTTATGTATTAAAAAAAGGAGAAGGAAACAGAATCAAGGGAAGACAAGAAAAGAAACTTAAAAAAAATGAACAACGGCAACGCCAACAACGCCAACAACGGCCTCCGCCGCGCAAACTCCTCAAACCCTCGACCAGGCCAATCCGCCTTCCCACCGCCCCGAGGCTCCCCCCGCCAACAAAACAACTCGCGCTCTCCGCCTCGTGACAACCAGAACCAGCCGAGCGAAAGCCCGCCGCGGAATCTTTTCGAATCGCGTTCGCGGCCGTACTCGTACGGTTCTGATTCGCAGTACAGTGATCCTGAGCCTTTGCGGCCGGAGCCGCTTCGACCGCAGCCGCCGCCGAGGGCGAGACAGCAGCAACAGCAGCAACAACAAGAAAGACAGCAACAACAACAGAGACAGCAACAACAACAGAGACAGCAGCAACAACAGAGACAACAGCAACAACAGAGACAGAGGCCACAGCAGCAGCGGACCCGCTTCGATCGGGAATATCAGTACCAAGAGAGGCCGTATGCGCAGGGCGAGTATTACACGAATCCGCCCACGAGTTTCACCTTTGCTCGGTCCCGCGAATCCTTTTTCAAGCGTGACGGCCCGGGAATATTCGGCGAAGGGTTCTTCAGTAGGCCTACCACGGGCTTTTTCGAGCGGAGGGACATTGGCCTAGGTAACGTCGATGTCGCCGGCGTCGGTGTCTCCGGGCTGAACGTCGGCACGCCCGGCATAGGACTCGGCGGGATTGGGTTAGGGGGCATCGGGCTCGGGGGGATTGGCCTCGGGGGTCTAGGATTGGGAGGGTTGAATGTGGGCGGGATCGGGACGGGAGGGTTTGCGACGGGGACGACGAGGACGTTTGGGGTTGGGGATGATGGGATTGGGGTTGCGGGGATTTCGGTGGCTGGCGTGACGATTCCTATTGTCAGGGAGGCGAATGGTGATCGGAGTGGGAATGGGAATGGGAACGGGAACGGGCAGAGACGTCAGCAGGGGGAGTCGGGGAGAGTGGTTGAGGAGGAAGACAGTGATGATGATATTTATGATAACTATCGGACGTCGAGGCGGTGAATGTTAGGATTTTTGGGGTATTGAGGATGAGTTTACTATGTCTATGTCTTGATGACTTGTTTTTCTGTGTATCAATTCTGCATATATTTCCTAGCGTCTTTCAAAGGATAAATTTGACAAATTTTGGCATGTTGGAACAGAGTCCTCTGGTTTAGTTGAGTTGTCCCGAGAACGTTGCACCGGCGTTGGCAGCGGACCGGCTGGTACACCGCAGGAGAGCGGACCGGCGCCCGCCATCTTCATCAGACCCGGAGCGGAGATTGGCCAAAATTTCGGCGGGCAGCGGCAGCCAGTCAAACCTCGAATTTGCTTTTTTGGTCAGGGCCTTTAATTCACCACGCCCCGATCACACAGAGACTGCAAAGAATGAACTAAAAACGGAAACTTTCGAGGTTTGGGTTTTTTTTTTCTTTTTTCTCCTCCCTCCCCCTTGTTCAAGGAGTTTGCTTTCGTGCCAGCAAGCTACAGTAGGAGAGGATGCATAAACAAGGCCGGAAGTCTTGGATTGTCCTTTGTTCCCAAGCCCCTGGAATGAATGCTAATATGAGGAGAAGAATCAAACTCGCTTACACGGATGTTTGGTTTTCTCACGCAAGTTTTGAGCTTTTCGCTTAAGGCCAGGGAGGCCAAGTGTCTTTGTTGTCATATATCGTAGGCGAAGGACAATGAATGATTGTCGCATTTCGGGAATGAATAAAATTGACCGAGTCACATAGGGACCAGCAAATATCGAACTCCTTTGGATTGAAAGAGCCGGGAACTGGAAATAGGATGTCTAGATCAACTCTAAATTCTCAGTCTCATACGGGGTCTTGGCTCTCCCAATCTCAGGGTCAGAGAGAGCGAAATAAGTCGAATATCACAAATAAAAGGAAGCTCACTCCTGGCTTATCAACATGAACATCTACTACCCGCGAGGCGCAGCGATAGACAAAGAGCTAGTCGAGGAAATACATCCCCGCGGGCCCGTCTACTGCCCATTTCACTTCCTCGCCGTCGCCGCGAAGTATTACAACGCGAATGTCGAAGCCTCCCGCACCTCCCTCGCCGACCTACAGCATCGTCGCAACGAAGACCTCGACAGGTTAAAACTCAGACGTAAGCGACAACAGCAACCGCCCACGAGGGTTCAGCCGACGAGGAAAGCCAAAACCACAAATTCGAAAATAATAGTAGAATCCAAGGAGGCGAAATTAGTCAATGCCATTGAAAAGAGGTACGCGAAGCTTGTCGCTGATCTACTTATCCCAAAGAGCAAATGCGACATCGGCAACGTCATGGGACTTGCTGAGTTGAAGAACGAGCTCGTCCGACTCATTGGTAAAGAGGAGACCAGAAAGAGAAGCGGCAGGGACGGTGCGAGACTGGACCCTTGTCATTTCGGCTCACTCCCGTGGCTGTGTCGCTTGTGCGAGCAGGGAAAGGAAGCGTCCATTCCTCCTGGCTCGAGGGACACGTCGGCGGTGGTTGTGGAGTGGCACCGGCGGTATAGCCCTGTGCCAGTGATGGGTGAAGCCCCAGTTGAGGGAGTCTGCGATGAGGAGTACTGGCGGATTGTGCCAATACCGAAGAAGAATGTTGTGAGGCTGGGCGGGTTGAGGTTTACGGTGGATGTATGTAGTGGAACAATGCTCATGTTTGTGTAAGAAAGCACCTGGCATTGCTTCGAATCGCACACTCGAGAAACTGGACAGCTTAGGATTGGCATTGGAGATATCACTCCCCCTTCCTCTTCCTCTCTCCCTCGTCAGTTCGCCAAGCTAACTCCCCGACACCCGCGGCTAGACGACGGGCTTTCACCGAAAGCGCCTGAAGAAGCGATTACAGTCAACAAGAGGAAAATAAAAGTAAAAAATTAAGAAGAAAAGTAAAGGCAGAAATGACGGCATCGCGCCACCATGTCGACGAACTGCGAAAGCAGAGTGCAAATCTTGGCAATATTGACAGCGAGCCAGGCGGTGGCAGAAGAGGTGGGGAATCTGCGAGAAAATCTGCAACATTCAAGTCAGTTCTCCTTTCCTCTCCTCATCGACTGCATGATGATTCGTCACCAAATGGGACCAAACCAAACCACCAAGGTCGCCTAAGAAACCTTTGGCCTTTCTCCTCTTCATCCATCGCCAGGTCTAAAGCCGAATTATTTTATGCCAGTGATGCCGTGCCACTGGTACATGCCACGATAGGCAAACCTCAGCACAGCACCTCCTTCCTGTGCTCGAGGGGCACATGCAAATTATTCCCAAGCTCACTTACCGTCGGCTCCAGAGTCCAGTGCACCTTCCTCCTTGTTGGGGTCCAGACCAGGTCATCGACCCACGGTCCCGAGGGTGCACCCGCCCGCTCCTGTCGCTCGCTGCCGCTGGCTGCCTCTTGCTTGGCGTTCGCTCTTGCCGTTCATGCCGAGTGTCTGCTGCAAGACTTTTGCGAGAGGAGGAGAGAGCCTCGATTGCACCAGCACCTTCAATTGGACTAGCTGCACCCTGCACATCACCGGATTCCAGCCCTTTCTTAAGCAAAGAGGGAGTATTTGCCGCAACCACAGTCTTCCAGCCATAAAGGTGTGACATTCATGTATTTATAGTCTCCACGTACTCTTAAGCTTGGCATTTCATTCTATCATCTTGGCTCTTCATTGAGGCTTTTCTACGCCTCTCAATTTCCTGCTCCATGCCAATGTTGCTTCACGAAAGAGTTTCTCCAGTATCGAAGAGCAGCGGGTTTGATTATTTTTATTGGCAAGAGATTTCTGAACGATCTCGTCGTCCATCGGCCACGGGAGGATGATCCCGCTTGCGTAATACCAACGCTGGCGCTTCGGTTCGGGGACATTCTTCTTGGTTCTTGCCTTAGTTGCAACCTCCCTTGTAGCCGTTTCCCAGAGCTGTCCCTTGACCTTGGCGAGAGTCTTCCGCCCTATGAGGGGTGAAAGGAATGAGGGGCATTACTCGAAGCTAACCTGCTTCTTGGACCCGAGCTTCTCCTATTGCCTCTCCCCCCACTGAGGCGGTTAGAGTCGACGATTCTACCCTTTGGTCCCACATCTGCATCACTTGGTCTGGTGGACATATTGGCCGCTTCGGTCATATGCAGGCACCCCTCCTCCCCTCCCAGAAAGAAGGAGCAAAGACCTCATCCCACCTGGGGATTACGACGCCGATCCCAAAAGGAGAAAGGTATGGAAAGCTTGGCTTCCAATCATACAAGCCTGTGGCCATTCAGGAGGTCTCAGGTTGGTGTACCCATAAACAACACAAGATGTCCCATTGATCTACAACACCCTGGTCCATAAACACGACAGCGAACGGTATCGCAAGGCTCCACCCCAAGGCTATCCAGGTTCTATATCTCGGGATACCAGTCAAAAAAAGGTCGACGTGGTCTGCACAACAACAGGGATCGCAGAGTGAGAATTGCCAAACCTCCCCTGATCAAGTCCAGGAAAGCCGTTTAGAAAGTCGCCCCCATGGACGAGGCGCTCCAGTACTAGTTCTCTGATGTCTGTCCCATCGGGAGGATGACTTGGGATGTGATACTGGCAAGTCGGAGTATCGTGATCCTGGCCGTTGTGCTTGTGAGAGGTTGATGGTCGGTGCATTCTCAGCTGCCAGTGCATAGAATGCGAGACATATCGCTTCGAGTAACGAGATGAAGAAAGTGATGCTACATTTCAAGGAAGTGGGAACGAGCCAGGGAGCAGTACTAACGGATGAATCCAAAGAGAAGCTCCCCATTCCAATATCCAGCGGCAATAGCCCAAGCAAACTTGCTAGAATAGACATTGATGTTGTATCGTGCTACATATCATACACCTCTCGCCGCGTCTCCTCCATGCCTGTGGCCGGCCGGCTTGTTTCAACCCGTAATAGTAGATGCATAATCACCACCATTGACGTAGATATGAGTGACTTTCCCTAATCTATGGAGCTTTGATCAGAGGGGATTAGTCCTTTATACCTGTTAGAGTTGGGACCTCGCTGTGTGGTGGTGTCGAAGCATTCCCACATTTGCCAAGAATAGCGTCTTGAACCCACCCGCTCGCAACAATCTGCAGGTTGCTGAAACCCACAATGCAATTTCTACACGCCCTCCCCGCTTCACACCACTCTAGGGAACCCTCCTCCACGTCAAACGACCTCCTCACTTGTCGGTCTTGGCCCGGACTTGGCGGTAAGAATCCTCGAGCCTTACTCGCCAGGCTATCGGCGGGACGATGGATATGACAAGATGCAGCCTCCCTCCGTTCCTTGTACGTATGAGTTTCCATCCCTTCGATACGCCATTGCGATAAGCTGGCCTGGAGTTGTAGTGGGAAACCTTTTGCAACAAGCACAAATGATTGGATACACAGGCTTCCGAAACTAGTAGAATGGAATGTTGTGGCCCCCCTAGGATGAGGATGGCCACAACGACGGGAAAACATGCCAAGAACAAAGCACATCATGACCTGTTGCGGGGTTGGCGAAGCACACATTGCGTGTTCGTTGTCCTGCATGATGCATTCGTCCATCGGCTGCCCACGTCTCACGATGGTTGGAGTAGGGCGCTTGCTTGGAGTTTCAACGCATACGGCATCTCGTGCGTGACGAAAAGAGGAGGCCTCCATCAACTCTTGTGAGACTGCGTAGGAGGGTTCACGATGGTAGCGGTCAGGTTGCGACTATAAAAGGAGCCAACTTCCCGGGTAGACGAGAGAATCCAGAATCCACATTTTCCTCGCCATCGCTTGAGCAATAAAATCAAGAATCTTCTTACATAGATACCCACCCCGTCATTTCTTTCACAATGTCCTTCCATCAGTCCGCAGAAGACATCACCCTCGACGGCAGCACCCTCAGAGCCCGTCTCCGAAACGTCGACGGAGAGTGGGTCGATGCCGAACTTAATCTCGACGAGGTCCTCGGCAACAACAACGGTAAGCCACTAGCGGTCATCAACACAATCCCCTCCTCCTTGCACATGTATACATGCTTTGAATAAGTACGATTTGCTAAGAAAAGATGACGCGGTATTATAGGTTTCTTTGAGTGGGGCGGCGGCGGCTTCTCCGGCTCCAGCGAGAACATCTCCTTCTCCATTGAGGGCGACGATAGCGTTCCTGTTCTCCGTGCCACGTTGAAGAATGCGGATGGGGAGGATGTCCATGCGGATGTTAACCTTGCCGAGAGGATTCATAATAACAATGGCGCTTTCTACTTCGGTGAGTTTTTTATTTTTTCTTTCCTTTAGAGGCAAGGAAAAGTCGTTGCGCTAACTGCGAAACAGAGTAACTGCGGAAACAAGAGGCGTAGATGTCTAGTTTCGTCTTGGATGACACGGTGAAAGGAGGATAAGATGGGATTTCTTGTACTCCGCTCGCCGGACGACGCTAGCACGAGTTGAAGCAGTAGACCCCAATCAATGAACTTATGAAGATCACTAAATCAGCCCTTCAACAATGAAACAAAAGAGTCAGATTCTGCCAGTGTGGAATTGTACATTGTATGCGAAAATACCATCTATACACCCAATAAGTTGTACACGTATAATCTCCATCTAATCCAAACATCCAAGACGTACACTTGCTTCCCACATCCACCTAAACATTCTCTCTATAGCCCCTCCATTTCAGCCACCTCAGGGCTTACCCATAAGCCAAGCCTTCTCCTTCGCCTTGCCATACTTGCCCGTTCCCGTAACAGGCAGATCCCTCTTCCGCAGCTCCTCCTCAATGACCTTCCACCTACCAACCCAGACCTCCTTGTCGATGGGCGTCACGCGACGGCCGTACACCTTGACGTTGGGGAGGTTGAACAGGTCTGGAGAGGAGGAGGCGGACTTAGAGTCGGATGCGACGCGGCGCTGGTGTTGTTGCTGGATGACCTCGATGAGCTTGCGGGGCTTGGGGGGTCGCGAGACGAGGGAGAGGATGTGTTGGGCCGTGCGGGCGGGGGCGAGCTTAGCGTCGGGGATGTACTGGCCGGAGAGCTGGTAGAGACGTTTATGGATCTGTATGATGTAAGAATTAGTTCCAGCAATATTCATGACGTGTTGAAAAGGGTGTCCGAGATAAAACATACGGCAAACTTGAGAGCTGGGTTCGTCACGGGAATCTGCTTCCAGGAGCTATCCCAGGACTTGCTGACCTCGCGAGCCTCTTCGGCCGTCAAGACATCTTCCTCGACAACCTCCTGCTCAGCGGCGCCCTCTAAAGCAGCCTCGTCAGCAGCATCAGCCTCAACAGCCTCAGCCTCACCCGCGGACGCTTCCAGGCCAGAAAGAACAGCACCAAGATCTCCCGTCAGCGTAACATCCCCCGCCTCCGAAACCTTCAACTCCACGCCCGCAGCCCTCAATGTGTCCCCTTTCTCCAAACCTCCCCACCGTCCCCTCAACATCTCCTCGCCCTTCTTCCCCTGCACAACCAACGCCTCGACAACAGCCTGCCTCAACAGAACCTCCAAAACAGCCGCATCCGTAACGACCTGGACACCTCCAGGATAGCTCCTCGGCACTGAGAAAACACTCAACCGATCAACGTCGCCCCAATGTCCCGCCTCCTCCCACCATCCTTCGAGCCCTCCGACTTCTTCGAGTCCCTCGGCCGTCTTGGCGGGGATGTAATCCGTCGCCTGGTTCGGGTTCGGCGCGTAAGAGAAATCGGGCGGCACGACGATCTTGGCCGCCGCAGCGATCAGGGAATCCTCGTCGATGGCTTCCTCCTCTGCTAGCTCGGCCTGGGACGATGCTTGGGATTGCAGCTCGAGTGCGCTTTGGCGATCGCGCTCGAGAGCCTCGAGCATTTCCTGGCGCTTCTTTTCGTCGGAGGTGAGAGTGCGGCGCGTGGGGGCGAGCTGTGCGGCGCGGGTCGTGGAGAGGGGACGGTGGAAGGGAGAGGTTGTGGTTTGAGTCGTGATGGTGGAGGGACAGCGGAGACGCTGTAATCTCGGTAGGCGACGCATTTTGTGGATAGTTTGTGTGTACTCCGGCGGCTTGAAGGGATGGGGAAGGGAGTGAGTGGTCACCTTCAAGCCCTCTGTAGTGAGGTGAGATGAGGTGCTGAGCTTGGGGAATTCGAGATGAACTTTTTTTTTAATACGTTGTAGATGCGTCGCGTGAGCCAATCACTGGGAATCAATTGGGTGTGGCTGGTATACGCCACATTGTGGCTTGCGTCTGGACCATCAATCTTGAACTTCCTCTCCAAGCATTACGACGATCACAGGCTACAGCTCGCCAAGATCCAAGCTTCAATGTACGCAACGCCATCCATCTCCTCGGCCGCAAACAAAACCGCTCCCCCCTTCCGCCTCATAATAGAACAAAATACATAACGACACAATGGCGCGCATAAAACACCATTTCATCCTACTCCTCCTCGGATTCCTCACCCTCGTCGCAGCGCAAAGTACGTCTCTCCTCTCCCCGTCAACTCTCATCAATCTCACCCAGCTAACCAATCCCTTCTTCCAACTTTCATAGGCCCTCAAATCTACTGCAAATGCACCTGCTTCAAAAACAGCACCATAATCCCCCTAAGCCCCCAACGCTCCACGAACCAACTCCGCTCCCTCCCCGATACCCTCTCCTCGAATCTCCACCAACACCCCAAACGAAACCCAACCGCCTGCTCCGGCTGCACAAAAGTCTTCTGCCGCGAGCAGAACCTCCCCTTTTGCAAGGACGCCAAGGACGAGGACATGCAGACCATGTGCTTCCAGCGCGACTCCATCAAGGATCGCTTTATTGTTTGGGGCTTCATACTCGGCACCTTTGGACTGTTGGGTTGGGCTGCTTTTAGGAAGGTTATGGAGATGAGGGGGGCGAGGATGGCGAGGGGCGGTGGTGCTGGGGCTGGATCTGGGAGTTCTGGGGGCGCTTATAGGAGGGTGGGTTGATGCTGAGGATATATGAGGAGGGGTTAAGAATGTATGGATGGGATATTGGGTATGGCGTTATGGGGATTCTTTTCGAACTCGGCGTTTCTGCTCATTTTTACGCGGATATCTTTTTCAGGCGGTGGAAATATATTTGTACAGAGCGATCAAATTGCTTGTTCGAAGCAAAGGTTCTGACGCGGACTTTGCATGGCATTCCTCCCTGCAGCGGTCATTATATTGAGCTTCACATTAAGCATGGGTTGGCAAGATAAGATCTCTGAAGAAAGCGGCTGAGATATATTCTCCCCAGAAAAAGTACGGAAAGCTCCGCGAAGTCATGATGATGATGATGTTCCCAACGCCAATTGTCTCTTTTTCAATTTTACAATCCGGGAAAGAAAACGACTAACTTTTTCCCTCCCTTCTCATTATTTCCCAGCGTATCCCTCCCAAATAAAAAAAAAAAAAAAAAAAAGAAAAGCAAGCCGCTTCAATGCAAGAAACTATTTTTATATGCCCTTGATACCCACTTGGTTGAAGGTAAATCCTTCGGAGATTTTAAGCCGACTGGCCGTTAGAAGCTCCGTTCGAAGCCTTGGCGGCGTTGACAGCGCGGCGGGCGCGTACAGCCTCAGCGAGCTCCTCGAGCGAAGTTACCGTGTTCTCCCAGTTGATGCAGGCATCCGTGATGCTGACACCCTTCTGGAGAGCGGCGGGGCCCTCAGCGGGGACCTTCTGGTTGCCCTCGTTGATGTTGGACTCGATCATGACGCCGATGATGGAGGTCTCACCCTCACGGAGCTGCTCAGCAACGACGGAGGCAACCTTGGGCTGGTTGCGATGGTCCTTGTTGGAGTTACCTGAGATGTAGTGTTAGTCTCTTGGTACGAAGTGCGATGGTTTTCGGGTCAGTCCTCAACGATAAACTCACCATGAGAGCAATCAATCATGATGGCAGTCTTCTGGTTCTTCTTGATAAGCGCAGCCTTCGCAGCCTGCACACTCTCCTTGTCGTAGTTGGGGCCCTTGTTTCCACCACGGAGGATGACGAAACCGTGTTCGTTACCCTTGGTACGGGTAATGGCAGCGAGACCCTGCTTCGTCACACCCATGAAGTGGTGGCGGGCAGCAGCGGCGCCAATGGCGTCAATGGCGACGCCGAGGTTACCGTCGGTGCCGTTCTTGAAACCGACGGGGAAAGAAAGACCCGAGGCCAGCTCGCGGTGAAGCTGAGACTCGGTGGTGCGGGCACCGATGGCGCCGACGGAGATGAAGTCAGCGAGGAACTGGGGGGAGATGGTATCGAGCATCTCGCTGGCAATGGGCATGCCCGAGGCCGTGAGGTCCTTGAAGAGCTGCCTGGAGACACGGAGGCCCTTGTTGATCTTGAAGGTCTGGTCGATATCAGGGTCGTTGATGAGGCCCTTCCAGCCGACGGTGGTGCGGGGCTTCTCGAGGTAGGCACGCATGACGATGACGAGGTCCTCGGTGAGCTTGGAGGCGACGGCCTTTAGGCGCTCGCAGTACTCGACGGCGGTCTGGGGGTCGTGAATGGAGCAGGGGCCGACGATGACGAGAAGGCGGTCATCCTTGCCCAGGACGATATTGGCGGCGTTGCGGCGGCCATTGACGACGGTCTCGAGGGCGGACTGCGTCATGGGAATCTCGGACGCAAGAAGCGCAGGGGGGATCAAAGGATCCTGGCCAAGAACTATGTTGAGCACGCATGCGGTTAGTCATAGATCTTCCAGGCAAGGCAAAAGGGCACTCAAAGTTGGGTTCCTGTCTCGGCGCATTGGGGGGAAGTGGATTGGGAAGATTGGAGGTAAAGCATCGCAGGTAGCTATACTGGTGCTCTCCGTGTCTTGGAAAAGCAGGAGTATAAGAACAGTTCACTTACTCCGAGTGTCATCGGCCTGAAGGGGGGTGATTTCTACGCCGGGCATGTTTGCGGTGATGTGGGGGAGTAAGATGTATGGAGGAGGGGTGAAGCGGTAGGAGGCAGAAGCGTTTTCTAGTCGGGTAAAGAGAGGTACGAACTGGCGTCGCCGGGCAGCTCGAGACAGATATAGTCGGACGGGACGTGGAATTTTGAAGCGCGGGATGGACGAGAGGAAGAGAGTGGAAGGATAAAGGGAAAAAGGAAGTACTCGTAGAAATAGTACGACGAGTAAACCGAGAATGAGTCAACGAATGACTGCGCGAGCAAAAGTCGGGACCCGGAGTGGTTGATTTTTTAAAGAGGAAAAAAAAAAAAGGACAAAAAAAAAAGACGGTGTAAGCTAGCATCGGAGGGTTCTCGGAGGTCAGCCTCCGTTGTACCCCGCCTAGTTATTTATATGGGGAGTTACATCTGTCAGGGTCTTCGTCCAGTAAGCGTCAAAGTATTTCTTTTCTTGCGCATGCCGGAGAGCGCATTGGACGCGGCCCTTGTACCCATGCATCGATTCAAGTGCCTCGGCGACAATGAATTGGCAACCGATCTCTTTAATTCTCGGGCATTGCGCGGGGGGGTTGTTTTTCTCAATGGATGTGCGAAGACAACAGGAGGCATGGGCGAATCCGATCTAGGACCGACCTCAGGTCAAACCTTGTCTGGTTGGTTTGACTTTGATGACACGGCAAGTATCAATTGGCGTGCAGCTTATTCTGCACCTTCCTGCTCAAATATGTTCTCGAAGAAACTTGGAAAGAGCCCACCACACCACATTTTGTGTGCGCCCTTCAAGTAGCTTACGAAGAACGCCACAACAGCACACGGGTTGTACCTGACCATACGAGCATTTCAACCCCATATCAAGTAGTTTGTCTAGAGGTGTACCTGTGTAGCTTCCTGTCAATTCTCACATCAAATCTCACGTCAACTCTCCCGCGAATTCTCACCGGTCCGATGCGGTCATCTTGCTCCCCATCAACGGAAGGAACGAACAAATGAAGTACAAACGGCGTGATGGCGGGGTAGCAAAGTGCAATTGAAATTCGTGTGTCGCGATTGGATCTGCCCATTTGGGTTCCAGACCCTGTCGGTGATTCCCGAGTCGTTCCTGGCCCCACGTGATTACGGCATTGACGCCCATTAGTTTAAGTCCGGACGAAGTCTAAACCCCTGACCCCCAACTTCGAAGTCAAAGACGAAGGACCTACTCTTCAAAGCTAGAAAATAGTTACGGGCACTTGGATATTAGATTAGTTTTTCCCCGGAAATGGGAGTGAACTCTCAGTGGGGCGGAGAAGAAATTTCCGAAATTTCCGGGCTTGGTTCGAAGAGTCATCCTTTTTTTCCCAGGGGGATTTTGGGGATTTTCACCAGTATCAAGTTATCGCTTCACGAGTCAGTTCTTCACTCTCTTGTTTCGCAGCCTTGCACAGTTCCTTTCCAATACGCAGGCGCAGCAAGTTCTTTTGCCATCATATGGTTCCAGGGAACTGGAGTCCATTCTTGTCTATTCTTTTCAGTGTGCTGCGTATCTTACAAGGCCATACGAAGTACTAAACTCCCATTCGTCGTTTCCATGCCGTTCAAAGTCCCACTTGTGTGTTCCCGCCCTTGTTTCAATCTGATCAACCTAACCGACCGCTGTCAGTTCTTGGAAAAGTAAGCTGGCGAGGGAATGCGAGTGGGCTAGTGGTTAATTGGAAGGTGGTTGACCGAGTAGAAGTGAACCAGACGCGGTTGAAACGAGAGCGAAACGAGGTGGCTTTTCCCCAGGTGTTATCGAGATTGGACCGATATACTTCAGTCATCCACGGCCACTCCTGTCCACCTCTATGCCTCACTCGTGGATACGAAGAACTCATATATATCATTTCGCTACCTCGAGCTACTTCCATGCCACCACCAACGCTAATCTACGAGCTGCATTTCAAAACTCTTAGCCTTAACTTCACCCCCCAGCTCCTTAGTGGCATGGTTGAACACTCCATATCTATATCCAGTAAAGTACCTCCACGAATTACTCATAGAGAAAGGTGGTCCTAGCTCCGTGAAATCAATCCCGTCAATGCTGTAAGAAAACCTCGCCGTCCGTTCTTGGCTCGATCCGAAAGCCGGTGTAATATCAGCCGTGATCCGGAGCCAGATCTCGGTGATGCCATCATCCGAAAGTGTAGGACCGGTAGCAGCTACCGTGCCAGTTCCTGCCGTCGTCCACTGGCCTTCAGACAAATTAAGATCGTTAACCATTACAACCTTCGCCGCATCTCCGTCTTTCCAGATTCCGATGTACGCGGCGCGATCCCGGAAGAGCACCGCGCCAGCCCTGTCACCGTCCTGCATCTTGCCAATATCAAGATGGAAGGTGCCCGTGGACTTTGGTCCAATTATACGATGAGTGAGTGTATTGCGAGCCGAAAATAAATCGGTAGTCACAGTTGCCGTTTGCAAAACAAGGCCACCGGCTTCATCGCCTGCGAGTTGCCACCTCGTCGTGTCGGGGTTGTGATTCCACTCCCACTCGTGGCTCAGACTCACTCCTTTAAACTCGTCGATGCCAACTGGGGGTGTGACTGTTTTGTTTGTTTGTACTGGTATCGGATACGTCATCCCCCAGTTACCGTTGTCGGTGACGAGCTCTGGCCATCCATCAGCAGTCCAGGTCAAGGGAGCGGCAACTGGAATACGCCCCCCGGGATAGGCATCCAAGAAAGCGACATAGTACCATTCATCATCAACGGTATTGACAATTCCACCTTGATGGGCATACCCGGCGTTTTGCAACGGTCCACTGATTCGGGATACCAGTGTGCGCCTTTCGTAAGGGCCAAAGGGGTTGTCAGACTTGAGCACATACTCCGCATCTGCCGGCCTCGTCACAAGAATGTAGTAAGACCCATTGATCTTGTAGAATCTGGCACCTTCCACGGTTTCTCCAGGGACTCCGTGAACCTCTTGCGACTTGACCTCGCTCAAGCCATCGGGCGATAACTGAGCGACGGAGATTCTAGGGTTACCGTAGGCCACATACAACACATCATCGTCGTCTATCAACAAGCCGGCGTCGTAATAACACCTGCCGATCGGAGGATGGCTCGTCCACGTCCACTCCGAGACCTCGCCGCCGTTCGCGACGGCTCCGTTTCCGGGGGCAGTCCAGACGTAGGTCCGGCCACTCTCGATGCATCCCATCCAATAGAACATGTCGTTCGATTGCCGGTAACGAAGCGTACTGGCCCAAATACCTTTCACGTATGCCCGTTGATTTGCGGTGAGGTTGTACTTGTCGCCGAAGTTGAGCTCGGGCACGCTGTGGGATACCGGCTCCCAGTTGACGAGATCGTAGGACTTTAGCACTGGAGCACCGGGGGAGTAGGCGAATGTTGACGAGGAGTAGTAAAAGACATCCCCGATGCGGAAAACGTCCAGGTCTGGATGGTCTTGCCAGAGAACTGGGTTCGAGAAAGTATCTGCTCTTTGAGAGATGATGCCATACTGAGGGCGACCCAGGCTAGCGCCAGTCGGAAGAACCACGGAACTGACTAGCAAGGCGACTTGAAGATTCGATGAAACCATGGTGGGCTTCGAGTAGTGTCTCGTTCATAGATCCGTCAGATTATGAGCGATGTGAATATTAGCGAACCTCTCCTGGCAGTTGAGAGATCAATATCTACTGAACTAAGCCCCCGAGAATGAGTCCAATCGCTGCTCTCCAACCCAATGATAATTATATATAGTTCTTCGGGATTCAAGAATTCAGGTCGATACGGTGGATTTATGTAGGACACATCAAAAATGGCCATGGTTGATTTAAGCTCGACTTTGCGGTCGCATCTGGCTTGAGAAATAATTTCTGTCAAGAAGGACCTTCCCTTACTTACACGGACGAAATTTCCTAGCCGGAGCAGCGCTTCACGAGTTCAATATAGTTTATATCTGCCTAGGACAAGGTTGATTGGAACGCTTAAAGGGAGGATATGACTTGGGACATCACCCGTACCATTGACCCATCACAAACTTGACTCTTGATGGCGGACGGCAAAGAGCGCAACACCGTATCTCGTCGACTATCTAAGCGGAAGTAGCTTCATCCCTGTAAAGTTTCTAAGGTGCGAAGACATTGTTGGAGGATTGTCTCCCGCAAGACGGAGTGAGATGCGATAATTCGGGTGGTTTGCCCAAAAGCTGGTTGGTGCGGCTGCAAATCCAACCTGACATCCGCTTCTGTAATGAGATTGGTGGCATATTGCTTAGAAGAGGGACAGCTCATATTCACCTGTCTGAGGCGTGAAGGTGGAAAGTGATAGTGTGGTCAAACCGTTTAGACGTACCCCGGAAGAGATTCGGGGAGGAGATGAGGCGAACATCGATTGATTCCGTTTTAGTTGATAAAATATTATGGCAAAATGCACGCTACTTTAATTTTCGAGAGTATGAATCCATTAAATTTCGCTAACACAACATCTCAAGAAATCCCATTCTCTTCCAACAAGTCACTTAGACCATATACCCGACAAAGACAGCCATGGCAGCAGCCAAAGACCAAGAGAGACCAGTAGTACTGCCTCCAGAATCGCCTCCAGCAGAAGTACTCGCCGCTGCCGCACCAGAAGCGGACGTCGCCAGACCAGAACCAGACGCTGCGGGAGCAGAAGTGGACGCAACAGGTGCAGAAGTGGGCGCGTCCGGCGCAGAGTCGCCCGTTAAAGTCGTGGTTACCCGGCTATTGTGTTGACCGTTATCATGGCCTAGGATGGAGGTATGAATAGGTACGCCGGGGACGGTGGCGGAATGATCGTGGTCGTCCTGCTCGTCATGATGAGTGCTGATCGTCTGAGAGGGAGGGGAACTGCCTACTACGGGAGTTGCGTCGTGGTCATGGTCAGGGCCCTCATGGCGTCGAGCCGGGTTGGCGGCGAGAGAGAGGGCAGTAAAGAGGGTGAGATAGATGATGGGCTTGACCATTTTGGCCGATTTCTGTTTAGTTTTGATTCCTCAAGGAAACGAGTGCGAGGGTTTCGATTTTAACCTGAAATAACGAACGTGAAGAGCACACGAGGGGAAGATGGAAGGATATAAGGGAAAATGATTTTTGCTCAATACAAAATAATAAAGATCAGAAGAGCGGTTAAATATCATGGGTGGCGACTCCAACGATCTTGCTCTAATGGTCTGATCTGTCGTCTCCCCACCACTCGTTCATCGTTGATGACCTGGCGACGGTGTCTCGCACTACTCGCGCCCGCACAGCGGAACCCTCTACAAGTACGTCGGCGTCAACGAGAGGCCGGGCCCATGAACCTCGCCGACCATTGCTCAGAGCTGTCCGCCACCGACGGCTTTGGAGACGACATCAACGGTATAGGCCCCACCGATCCCACCGCCATAGCTGCGGTACCTAACATTGAAATACTCAGTCGGCTCAGAGATTTGCACAAGTAGGCTCAATACACCAAATATTGCGTTGTTGCACACACCATTGAAATTAATTCAATGTTAAAGAGTTAAAGAGATATTCTACACCCTGCACAATGTCGGTGAGCTGCAAGGCATCTATGAAGTCCTAGAGCTCGGTAGAACGTCATCCAGTCAAGCCTGGTCGGCCTCTGACATAGACCTCAGCCGTCTCTTAAACGAGCTCACCCTTCTCCGTAATGCAGGCTCAACACGGCCTTTGGATTTAATGTCAACCTCAGCACCCTGTCCAGACCACGTTGGATATTTCTCGGTGTCGACCCATCGCGAGCTCGGTCCCTCCAGTGAACCCATGTCTTCGTTCCACCCAAGCCGTTCGGCCAAGTCCAAAAGCGTCTTACCAGGCTTGATGTAGCCGCTCTCTAGACCTTCAGTAGATTCAACAGGGTCCGGTCGAAGACCAAAAGCCGAGATTTCACGTTGTTCTAAGTCCAGCAGAAAAGAAACAGCCGCTTCCAGCGTGGTCTCAAGCGCCGATATCTCACCCTCAGGTTCAAAGAGAACACTCTTCCTGAAGTCCTTGGGGATAGAATCAAAAGTGATAGGTGCGCTGAGGCCATCCTCGATACCTGTCCGGATAATGACGACAGTGAGAGACCCAAGGTCAGAAATCTCGTCGTCGTAATGTTGGGCTCGGATGACAACAGCGACAGCACGAAAGCGCGGCTGAAGTATAAAAAAGTCCTGATCGCGGATAACCTTTACCGGGTCCCTGCTTATATCTAATGGCGCACACACCCTGCAAAACAGTTCATCGTCGTCAAGATCAAGATCTTTGAGAGCCTTCGTAGCATTTTGGACATTATCGACCCTGGCGCAGAGGCTTGCATTCAATGCTTTGATTAAATCAACCAGGGGTTGCGAGCAAGTCTCCCCTGGAAGAGTTGTCGGCTTGGTGAAGACGACCTTGGCGAGAAACTGCCCGTATTCGATCTCGCTCCGATAGGGCCGGAACCACTTCTTATAAAGGTAGTTGTGGAGAACAGTTAAAAGCAGCTCTGCTACAAATGGCCAATCGGCACCTGCAACAATGGGGTCGTTCCGGAGGATGTAGAAAGGCGCGGTTCGGTTGCAATAGTCATTTGCTTCTTCCAACTCCATCTCCCGCATGTTGCTGGGATCCGTCAGGCTCTTCTCCTTCCAAGACACGTAGGTATACATCGCCGAGCGATGCCATATGCCTCTCCGGTGCGTTGACTCTTGCTCGCCTCGAAGATAGTGTAGAATTTCATGACGAGGAAGCGGAAGCCTTTCCGCAGGGACGCCGTAGACCGGCTTGGCCGCTGCCATTGTGGTCTGTTTATTCTGTCCGAGTGTGAACAATGAAGAAATATCGAAGTGTAGATCGCGGAGGAGGTATGAATTGGAGGGGAGCTGGAGATTGAATGATGGTTCTTTACGCCAGTTCAAGAAAGTTACGAGGGCAGCGGACCTTGTTTCAAACTAGAGGATTCAATGTTATGTTGAAGCGTAATTGTAGTGCAGAGTTTACATTCATAAGGTGCATTTGATAGCTTGAGCGCTACTGTGTTACTAGCAAGATCCCTAGAGAAGTAATCCCTAGTGCAATTAACATCCATCACGACTTGCGCAAGATTTCGATATCAAGTGACGGGCACTGCAGTGACTTGGATCCATCTGGAGTGGTGAATCCGATGATAGACTGTTGGGGAATTCGACGAGGCCCTGGAAAATTGGACTGACTTGCCTGCTCCGCAGTTGGCCAAACTTTCGCCAAGAGATTAGGGAAGTTGTGTGTCTGTCCTAAGAAGATCTACTGACGTGGAGCCTTCCTTTCTCCCAAACCTTTCTCTCTCTCTTGGGAGTCGAGTTCTAAAGAGTCATGGGATCAGGAAAGAACGAAAGCTATCTCGAATTATCAGATATTGCTGGCACCTGCCATAGCCCGAAGGTTGGACTTGGACATCACTCTTTCCTCCCCACTCCAACAGATGCGATAAACCTAAAGGTTAGGAAAGTGCCATGACCGATCCAGCCGAAAGAGATGTTCAGCTAATTGCTCTTGTCTCGTAGGGCCAAGTTCCAACTTCCGGCATCCAATTCTCAAGTTCCCTCTCTCCTCCGGTTCCTTCCAAGAAAGACTTAATCTAGACAACATCGGTGGACCTCAATTTCAAGTGATTCGGTCGTACCGTGTTAATTTGAGTGATTTGTAGAGTACCTCCAGCATCTCATGTATAAAATGGAGCTTTCCCTCTCTCTTCCAGTTACAACTCTCTCAAGTTTTCATTTTTCAAGTTCCAACTCCCAAGAAGGAATCCAGTTTCCATCATCTCTCTCCGATGTCTGTCCCAAGCCTATGTCATACAATTCTCTTGTTTCAATAATGTCACAACCACTCATTTCTCCTACTCAATACGAGCAAAATTTGGCGAAGGGCGCATAGCTGCACAAGGAGCTGATCGATAACACCCACGAAAACGGACGCACGCTCATTTCCTTGCCCCAGAGATACGATACTGCTCCCTCTCATGGACCCTCGGTTTCCATCGTCTCGATCATCCATCGTGTGCATGTTGATTGTGCTGCAACCTATTTCGATTGTCAACCGATATGGCCACCCCTCAGATAACCTGTGCGCTCTACGAGGAGGGCCGAAGGCTCCAAGAGGAGCTTGATATAAGTATCAAGGACAGGGGGCATGCGTACACACCCCTAAAGGAGATTGCGACGGGCTACGACACCATTCTCGATCCACGGAGCTGCCGGGGATCAGTGACCTACAACAAGACAAGCTCGAGGACGCAGAAGAACTAGACGACCAGTATATCCTCGTACAGGTCTAAAACCCAGCGGGGAGGCCCCTAGCGTACCAGACCAGAACTACATGGCTGTGAGTGGGGGAGATGTCAAGAGCTAGCGAGGGTCTGGAGACTATGTATCAGGAACGAGACAACTTTAAGCCTGATACGCGATGTCCACTGTCGACAGAATCCACCGCAGCCCTGGGTGGATAATACTCCTAGCGACGATGACTTTCTCCCCTTGCTGGTGGTTGACAATGGCAGAGGGGTGGTAGGGATGCTGGCTACTTACCCAAGGATGTTTAGAGTGTAAAGCCATCTTGAGGGTGAGGAGGGTGAGGGTGTTCAACAGCTTCCTTGGGGAGAGGACCGTCTCTGTAACGCTGATGAAGGCGCCAATGAAGAACTGATTTGGGGGGGGGGATCAAGTTTATAATACACCTTGGAACCAAGGAGCGCAGTGCCTTTTAAATGTTCACGAATGTACGAACTTGGTTCACGGAATGGAATGAAGCTACGTTCCGGGGGTGGAATTAATTGAGTTTTGAGTTTTGGGCGGCCTGCAGACTTAGGGAAGAGAGAGCATGGTTCTTTTTATCAATCTTAATCAATCTGCCGTTAAAACCGTGCCGATGCTGATAATTTGTCTGTTGTGTGTGTGCGTGCGTGTGTGCGCGTTCTGTTGATTCCCATTCCATTGACTTTTCATTCCGGGGCAGCCCCAAGAGTCGAGAATCTCCAGCCTCTTGGGGGCTGAACCAACCCCGCCGACGTGAGGCTGAGTCGGATCATGGTCTGGTCATCTTTTGTACCTTGCGGGCCCCAACTCCGCTGTCGTCGGTTTCGCCACTGGAGGCAGCAGTGGATGGATCCTTGAACTGAATGGAAACTTGCCGTCGCCAACATTCTTTTTCTTAAAACCAAACCTGGGGAATATTCCCTCCATACAGACATCTGTTATTTTCTACTGACTGCTACCTTAATCTACGGGAGACGTCTACGGCTCTCCGAGGTAGCCCCCTCCTGGGTCTTATCCACCTTTCGCTTCGATTCCGCGAACGTACGCCCCGGCAACTCCGCGCCCTTCCCTCGGATTTTGACCATAATTGTTCAGCGGCAAAAATGGCGGGTGATTTGAATTGTTCGAGGAGGCGCCTTCGGGAGGAAGAAGAAGATCTAGCTACCTATGGCTCCTCCAGCTTCGGCGAGCATCGAAACGTACGATCTAGGTTATTCGTTTGATTCCGCGAATGCACCGTGAAGATCTAACGGTTTCTTCTTAGAAACGAGTCATGTCTGGGACTCCGACATCTGCGAAGCGGTGGGCCGGGTCCCCAGTGTACCCGTTGAATTCGACCGCGTCCGACTTTCTCGACTCCGTGGCCCCCGAGAGCGAAAATCCCCGCGAAGCCGAGGATACCTGCATGGACATGGACGGACAATCTCCTGAGCTAACCGATCAGCCGAGCGACGCTCTCGACCCCTTCTCGCTCACATCCGATCCCGCAGCGGTGAATCTAGCCGACCGTGTTCCCACGCCGATTCAACCTAGATTCAGGAATCAAGTGAGGGGTGGTGCACATTGGGAAGCATCCGACCTGCACCACCCCAACGGCGTCAACAACATGGGCCATCATCAGTGCGGGTTGGATTCGTTTGACCAGTCTGTACCGCGCACCACGGAGTCCGAGGAGTGGAACAACGTTCGAAACAGGCGGCTTCCTTCGCCCATCAGCGAGGGCGAGGATGGCTCTTCCAACGCGGGTCTCGATGGCGGGTTCACGACGCACTTGGCGGACAGGCTCGCGTCTCAAGTATCCATATCGAGTCCCGATGAGAATCCCGGTGTTGAACCGGGCATGCCCTTACCTATCGACGTTGCCGATGTTCCGACGACCCCCCCACAAAGCCGCCGGGGACACATCCGATCACGACATACGATCAACTCGTGGACGTGGCAGCCAGGCATGAAGAAGACGTTTAGTATGGGATATAGAACCGACTGCGAGAAGTGCAGGCTAAAAGTCCCCGGCCACTTTAACCACATTATCATCTCTTAGCTAAAAGGGCGATTGTTTCGCGGGGATGGGCGGCGCCGAGGTCGCTATCATACGCCATCGTCCTCGAGACTGAACGTCGGTCGAGGTTTACTGATCGAACTAACTTCTAGTGATAGTCCTGTCTCTACCTTTTTCTATTGTTTCTTCTTTGCGGTCCTTTGAACTCTCTTCTCCGGCAGCAGGCGTTATCAGCGGCGTTTTTAATCTTATTTATGGGATGCCAGTTTGCTTTCGGATGGATTGTTTGCTTAGATTGGATGTCTGCTCTACGGGATGACGTGGAACGTCTCCCCCAAAAACATTCTTTAGATTATTTTCTACTTGTTTCTAGATTGACCATATACCCCGTCCTCCTTTGTTTCGAAAGGAGGACGATCCTGCCTTGGACGGCTTTTTCTTTTCTTTTTATTCCGCTGTTATATTTCTTCAACACGTTCTTCAGGAGATACATAGTAAATATACAATTAAATGCTATTCAAAAGCGGCGAAAATAATCACCAATAATACCTGTAACCATGGCTGCGGGGTATGACGCCGTTTTTACTGATGACAATGCGAGCCTACCAACGCACAATCAGAGACATTCGCAAGGATGCCAGAGGGAGATCCTGGAGAAAACAGGGTGATACGGATGGGAGATGGCAATGGCCCGCAGAGATCGAGAAAAGAGAGTGAAGCTTGTGGTAAAGAGTACCGGTCAAGGTACGCTGGGATGCAATGTATTATATGAGAGGGTGGATGTTTTCTTCCAAGTGCAATGCACATCCCAGACGCCGTCTAATGTAGCCAGTCTACATACACAGGAATAGATTCTATAATACAGCTGTCGTACTCGTCACACACAATCTCCTCCTCCACCTGTACCTTTTCAACCAACTTATAGAGTCGCCGAGCTTTCGACTCCCATTCCGCGCCATTGTATTTTGAGTTTCCCCTTCCCCCACCCGCCGAACTCACCAGACCTTCCACCAGCTCTTCCCAGAGCTCTCTTGCTTCGCCGCTCCCGCTCCCGCTCCTGCTCCAGCACCCAGATGATCCAATGGACCGCCCTTCCCTTGACTCGCCTTCTCCTGCTCAAAAGCCCCCTTGACCTTATTCCTCAGCTCCTCCGCCTGGGCAGGCGAGACGCCCGTCTGCTGCGCCTTGACCTGGGCATCGACCTGATCCCATATCGACTGAGACTTATCCTTCTGCTCCTGTGTTGCGGGGCCGGAGAGGAGAGGGGGTAGCCTCTGTCCCGTCCTGTCGGCTTCCCTGATAGCTTCCTCAACAAGGCGAGTCTGCTCGTCAGTGGCCGAGCCATTGAGGAAAGCCAAACGTGCGGACGCGAGGGCGTCGTGCTCGATTCGTTTCTGGGCTTGCATGAAGTCTTCGCGACGTTTGCGGTTATACTTGAGCATGTCCATGACGGCGTAGACGCTGAAGACACCAGCAATCACTGTTGCATATGTTAGTTACTTCTTTTCCTTTCTCTTCTTCCTCTTTTCCTCAGTTGTCCTTCCCAAAATCACGCCATATATAAAATGGGCAAGCGCATACCCGTAAACCCAATTAACCCAGCCAACGTAGCCTTATGCATGACATCAAACACCTTCCTACCCCCCTCCGTTATCCGATCGTATCTCGAAAGCGGCGCGCTCCTCGCGGCCAGATGCGCAGCCCTTAACCGCGCCACCCGCTGCTCGAGAGTCTCGCCGACGGGGCCGGGGCCGCCGGCATTGGACGCCGCCGAAGTTTTGGATTTCGGCTGTGGTGTCGTCGACGTGAAGCGCGTAGCATCGCTGACGCTCCGAGGACCTGATCGGGAGGCCATTGTGAGTTGTTTCGAGGAGGAGAACCTTGAATTTTTGGAGAAAACGAGGGTGGGGGGTTTCCTTCAAAAAGGGCCAAGTTTTTTCTGTTTCGTTCTTCCTCGAGGACCCTCGAATCACTGCAACAGAAAATGTCATGAGATTGTGCTTAGCCAAGCTAATTCGCGAGAAGTTCCGCTGGGGCAGCGCGGAGACCCGGGAAGTTCTTCGGGAATTTGTCGGGTGATGGGTTGAGGCTGGAATCAAGGCCAGCCACTGAAAGTGTGGCGGTGACGAAAAGAAAAAGAATTTCCAAGTTGAAATTTTGAATTATTCCTACCTCACGTGATGAGGTAATACTACCCCAAGTCGCCTAACTAAGCCGCTGCCAGGGACCCCACTTTCCCAGCAAGCACAAGGAAGAGAAAAAAAAAGATACGTACCCGCATAGGGTTTCAAGCCCACCAAAGAATTTGCGTCGAGGTGGACTGAACATCAAATCTAATCTTCGAACCTTTTCCAATTGCCCTCCCGACATCACCACCACACCTCCCACGACAGAGTGATTGATCGTGAACCGGCACAATGGTACGAAGATATCGATGAATCCGTTTCTATTCCTTCGGGCTTTCGAGGATTTACATTCTAACCTGCTTCGTTCTCATCGTGTAGGCGATCAAGCACAACCAGAAGCTTATCAGCACCCGTAAGCATCGACCCCTTCGCCCGCAATATTGGGACTCATCCAAGAGGATGAAAGGGTTTTGGTAGTGAGAGATGGGCTAACGCGTGGAATATAGATCTCCGAAAGGACTGGCAACGTCGGGTTCGATGCCACTTCGATCAGGTACGATAACCCAAAAAGTCGCGATTCCGGACACCCGTCAAAGACAAATATCTCGACGAGACGGACAGACGCATTTAGCAAAGCCGAAGGAACCTATCTTTCTAACGTGATGGAATCTATAGCCCGGTGCCAAGGTCAGGCGTCGGGACGCCCGTAGGGCCAAGGCTGCCGCCGTCGCCCCTCGTCCCGTCGACCTTCTCCGACCTATTGTGCGATGCCCTACCGTCAAGCACAACCGCCGTGCCAGGGCTGGCCGCGGTTTCTCTCTTGAGGAGCTCAAGGTACGCACAAAATTTTGCCCCGCTTCCCCCTTGAACCGATTTGTCAATTGGGTGGCTTTGGCAATGCGCCACTGCATTTTCTCAAAATAAATTGGTCCCAAAATTGGAAGGGAGAGGGATGTTTTGAAACTGACTTGGCAAAAAAAGGCTGCCGGTGTCCCCCGCCTCTACGCCCCCACGATCGGTATTGCTGTCGATCACCGCCGCCAGAACATCTCCGAGGAGTCCCTCGCCGCCAACGTCGCCCGCCTGAAGGAGTACCTCGCTCGCGTTATCGTCCTCCCCCGCAGGTCCAACGCCCCCAAGAAGGGTGACACCAAGGCCGACCTCTCCAAGGTTGATCTCGTCTCTTCCCTCGCCTCCGCCATCCCCATCGTCTCCTCCGACAAGACCATCAAGGAGATCAGCAAGGCCGACCTTCCTAAGGCCATCGAGGGTGGTGCGTACAGGAAGCTCAGGCTCGCCCGCAGCGACGCCAGGTTGGCTGGTGTCAGGGAGAAGCGCATCAGGGATAAGGCCGAGGCCGAGGCTGCCAAGAAATAAAAAAAGAAGAGAAAAAGAAGGAGAGAGAGGAGCTGGAAACGACAACGACAGGAAGGTAGCGGTAGGCCCCGGAGTTGTGTGTTTTATTTTTTATTTTTTCGCCCAAGACAGGCAATGGTATCGAGGTTTTATATCCTTTCACCAAAGAGAGAAAGAAACAAAAAACATCAAAACAGAATACCTGCATGGACAACTTGGGGATTCTTTCACTACTGGGAGTCCTGTGTTGTCTTTTTGTGTCTGCCGGTCTCTTTTTTGTCTTTTCTCTTTTCCCCTAAATCTTCTCCTGCTTGCTTGCTGCTACTCTTCTTGAGAACAAAAAAGGTTACGGAACATGGAAAGGCCGGGAATGGTATGAGAGCCCCCTTGGTAGTTTAATGACGGTGCCAAGGCAAGGGTGAACCACGAAATACAAACGCATTAGAGACTAAACTCGTATTGTCTTTTCTCTTGCTAATTTCTTTTTCTTGCTCACTATGGCCTTTGCAGTGATGGCTAATGTGTGATGACGACGTTGACTCTTAGTTAAGCCTTCCACAGAGGATACCTTCTCTTGTTCTTTTTATCAAAGCTGGTCCATGTCCTTATTGGCCAAGGGGCTCGGAACCCTCTTCCTTACTACCCAGAAGTGAGCTACCTTCCTTCATCAGCTCTTCAAATTCCCCCACACTCTTAAGTTGCTCCCCTTCAACAGCTTGAATACCTTCCCCATCACCTTGCTTCATCCACAAGATAAGATTCCACACAATAATGAGCGAGTTCTCCTGATCCGCCCTCAGAGGAAGTGCGGCAGCCGTAGTCGTGGTACCCTCCGTGTCAGCTCCCTCTCTCCTCACGGCCGTCGCCGCAGCTTGTTCCGCACCGGCCCTCATGACCTCCGCAGCTAGAGCATCAGAATCTTTCCCCTCCTCCGGCTGAGGCGCAATGCCTTTTACAGCATCCCCCAAGACGGCGAAGTTCTCGTTCCTAGAAAACAGGCGGTGGAGCATGGGGAGCGCTGCCTCGGAGCGCGAAGCCTGCGCTAGAACGCTGATAGTCTCGGAGCGGAGAGCTGGCCAGCGAGTTTGTGTGATGAGATGGGAAATTGCGTCGGGGATGTGAGGATACGAGTCGTAGAGAGCGTGAGAGGTAGATCCAAGTGGGGAGCGTACGACACGGAGGACGGCGCGAGCCGTTTCCGTTTTTGCGGGGTCGTCTGTCTTGTCGAATAGAGCCAGGAGTTTATGGAAGGTTGAGTCGATAGTGGGGGACGAGGAGTCAGTGGTCGTTGATCTGTTTGTTGTGGTGGAGGGACTGCAGAGGAGTTCGACATTTTCAGGCGTGTCTACAAGAAGCATGCGAGTAAGGGAGGCAGCGGCCAGGTGAACTTGAGGAAGAGCATCCATAGCCCAGATGCGGGGGAGGGCATCTGGAGATAGGAGGAGTGGGCCCAGCACGTGTTTGTTCTGGGGTGGGATGGCGAGGTTTTTGAGGAAGCCCAGGGCGGCGTGGATGAGGAGGGTGTTGGTGTTGCTTGGGTCGGAGAGGATTTTGATGATGTGAGTGTGAATTGTATAAGTGTTGATTAGAGAAAGGCTCGAGTCATCGTCACGGGCGAGGTTACCTAGGGCAAGACACGCGGCAGACTGCAGAGCAGGGTTGGGAGAATTGAGCCAGTCAACGAGCTGGGCGAAGACGGGGCTCGAGATCGGGTGGGTCTGCGCAAAGGCTGGGTTGTCCGTGATATCGGAGAGAGCGTTGATAAGGACTTTCTGTAGGACAGAGACTTGGGAGGAGAGCTCAGGGTTGTCGAGGGATTCGGATTCGAAGCGCGGCGAATTCGCCGTTTCAAAGACGGAGAGGAAAGTGGTGATACCGCCAGAGGTGATGAAGGCGGTTTGAAGGGGTCGGTGAGTGAGATATTCTTGGGCAACGGAAACGAGAGAGAGGAAGTCCTCAGGGTCTTCCAAGGATGCGGGGGTTAAGGCAAGTGAGAGTAGGACAGAGGGAGTTTGGGGGACCGCATTGGCTGCTTCGAATTCTAAAAGCGTACTTGGTTAGCAGCAGTCGGGGGTCAGTGGAGGAAGGGAGAGGGGTGCTTGCGTACCTTGGGTCGCGAGGAGGTTGAGGCTTTTGCAGATGAGGTCTATCAGGGGTCGAATATCTTCGAGATTAGGACCGGAGAAGATATCTACGAGTTTTGAGCTGAGCTTTGAGTTGGAGGCCTGCAACTGGGCAGGTTCTTTGAGCTCATCAGTACGATTTCGTTGGTTAGCTATGTTAAGGAAGCCAACCGGCCGACTTACTGTAGTCCACCATGATGTTGTACAGCACGGTTATGCCAAATGGCCGTAACGCAGAGTTGGAAATGAAACTCATGATGTTTGGGATAGCATTCGCCTTGACGACACGATCGCGGTTCTCATCTAGAGATGAAGATCAGCGGCGGAGATCCGTAGCCTGGGGCCGGTAGAGACATGCCTGTGTCAGCACAAGAGTTGCCGATGAGGCGGAGGCATTGAATAGCGAGATCATCAGAGGTATCGGGCTCCGCGATGACATCCAAGAAGAACTCGAGGATCCCGGACTCGCCGAGTGGAAGCCTCCATGGTTCTGGCTCAGTCCGCTGTTAGTTATCTCTTTCATCCCAGCTCAGTGGCCTAAGCGACTAACCCTTGCGGCTGCCGATGGCAAGCTTCTCGGCATACAACTTGATGCTCGGGTCTCTTGCGATCCATAACTTCTCTAACTCGACAAAGACTTCTTGCAGCCATTTGACTTTCTGCTGTTCATCGTCGGTAGCTGGTCTGTCCTGCCCCGCTGCCCCGCGGCCCTGGCCTTGGAGAACAGCTTCGATTTCTTCAGGGGTCATGATGTCTGTTTCGATATACTATATACGGCGAGGAGGGCCAGGGAAATGGTTGAGACCTTCGCCTTTCAGACTTGATTAGCGTTGCCTGGGAGGCAAGAGAGCTATCAATGACATTATCAATATCGTCCAAATCATCACAATTCCGGGTTCTGAAGAGCCCCGCCAAGCCCAGGGACTCGATGATGAACAATTCACCAATCACATCAAAGATACATTGGTACATTCCAACTCTCCGATTTGCGGCAGGTGACGTGGAGTTGAGATCGCAGCTTCCCCACCACCAAACGGGGACATGGACCAATTCTGGCGGGGCAATTTTTCACCCCACCAAAAACTGACGGGAAGGTGTGACTCGAAATAAGTCACTTCCTGCCGATATTTTGTGACGCATCTTGCAATTGCAATCTTGTCTTCGCTTCCCAAGACCAAATTTCTTTCGAAATTGTGTCTTCAAATGCACGGAACTGCTCGGTGAACTTCCAATCCTTCCACTCTTCTCACTTGAGCTGCCCACTATGTCTCCGAGTACTTCCCTGCCAGACCCCACCATCGACTTGGGTTGGGATGACTTCCGTGGAGGTAAAGTGCGTCTCTGGACCCTTTTCGGGCGTCATTAACTCCAGTTTATGGGAGACTAATGGGTGTTGTTGATATCAGCCATCCACGACATCTTTGCCGCCAATGCCGTAGCCCACCCGGAAAGGCACTGCGTCGTCGAGACCAAGGGCCCGCGAAACCCCGAGCGCATCTTTACCTACAAGCAGATCAACGAGAGCTCCAACCAGCTCGCACACTTCTTCCTAGACAATGGCTGCGAGCTCGGTGATGTAGTCATGATATATGCCCATCGCAGGTGAGTTATCCTCCAATTGACTCCCCAATTGGCCCGGGCTGCTGACGCCGTGTTGGTAATATCAGCGTCGACCTCGTCGTCGCTTACATGGGTGCTCTCAAGGCTGGTGCCACCGTCAGTGTTCTCGACCCTCAGTATCCCGCCGACCGACAAAAGATCCTCCTAGAGGTTGCGAATCCTGTTTTCCTCGTGCAGATTCAGCGCGCGACCGACGAGTCTGGCAAGCTTGCCGACACCGTCGCCGAGTTCATTAAGAATAGCCTCAAGATCAAGGCGGAAATTCCGGCCCTCCGACTAGCAGATAATGGAGATCTCAAGGGTGGAGAGGTTGATGGGAAGGATTGTCTTCAGCCTCAGGAGGCTCGCAAGGATAGGCTTCCCGGCATCCTGGTCGGGCCTGATTCGATACCAACTCTCAGTTTTACCAGTGGTTCTGAGGGCAAGCCTAAGGGTGTCCAGGGTCGTCACTTTTCTTTGACTTACTATTTCCCTTGGATGGCAGAGAAGTTCAACTTGTCTGAAAATGACAGGTTCACCATGTTGTCTGGAATCGCCCATGACCCTATCCAGGTTTGTCAATAACATCAAGATCCTCAACCCCTTTGCATGTCGGAGTAAAATACTTACACATTCCCTACTACAGCGGGATATTTTCACCCCTCTGTTTCTTGCCTCGCGCCTAATAATTCCTCCCCAAGATCTGATTGCACATGAGCTCCTCGCTGAGTGGGTGAGAGAGAACGAGGTTACCGTGACCCATTTGACCCCTGCTATGGGCCAAATTCTTGTTGGTGGAGCGTCTGCCCAAATTCCCTCTCTCCGCAATGCCTTCTTCGTTGGTGACCTCCTCACCAAGAAAGACTGCCGAAAGCTCCAAGACCTTGCCCCAAATGTCAACATTATCAACATGTACGGGTCTACTGAAAGTCAGGTTCGTTACTCGGAGGCCAAAAAATAAAGTCCCTCCATTTTATTGCAGAGGCTAACAGGCAGCTGCTATAGCGAAGCGTGTCCTATTTCGAGATCCCACCTAAGGCTAAGCAGCCTGATGCCCTTGATGCCTTGCCAGATATTATCCCTGTTGGGCAGGGTATGTTTAATGTTCAGCTTCTTGTGGTCGACAGGGACAACAAGAACAGAATATGCGATGTTGGTGAGCAAGGAGAGCTCTTCCTTCGCGCCGGTGGTCTTGCAGAGGGCTACTTGGGCGATGATGAGACTATCCGCAAACTCAACGAGTCCAAGTTCTTGACGAACTGGTTTGTGGACACTAAGATCTGGGAGAAGAAGTTCGAAGAAAAGGTTGCGGCGAATGGCCGCCAACCATGGATGAAGCTCTATAAGGGCCCTCGCGACCGCCTCTACCGAACTGGCGATCTAGGTCGTGCGCTCCCCGACGGCAGCGTTGAGTGTACTGGCCGTGTCGACAACCAGGTCAAGATTCGAGGGTTCCGTATCGAGCTTGGCGAGATCGATACTCACCTTTCGCATCACCCATTCGTCCGTGAGAATGTGACGGTTCTCAGGAGGGACGAGAATGAAGAGCCTAAGCTCGTTAGTTACATCGTTCCAGAGGCCAAGCGTTGGCTCCAGCACCTCAAGGAGAGCGGCAAGTCTGTGGATGAGGCCGAAGACGAGTCTATGATTGGCATGTTCAAGAAGTATAAATCGCTTTCGGACGACTGCAAGAACTTCCTCAAGGCCAAAGTCCCTCACTACGCTGTTCCTACTATGTTTATTCCGCTAGCGCGAATGCCGTTGAGTACGTTAATTAGCGGTATTCACACGTCAAATACGTACTCCAGTCACTAACTTAGTTCTCTTCCAGACCCTAATGGCAAGATTGACAAGCCGGCCCTTCCTTTCCCAAGCAAAGAAACCGATCTCGCCTTGCTCGTCCGCCGGCCATCGCAAGCTTACCACGCCATGACTGAAACGCAGAAGAGAGTGGCAAAAATTTGGGCTTCTGTTATTCCCAACCGTACAGCACGCATGTTTGTGCCCGAGTCCAACTTTTTCGAGGAGGGTGGCCACTCCATCCTTGCGCAGCAGATGCTTTTCAATGTGAGGAAGGAATGGAAGGAAATTGATATTCCTATGAGCGTCATCTTCCAGTCCCAGACTCTTGGGGAGTTCGCCACCGAGATTGACCGTGCCCAAGATCCCACCGGTCTCCGTCTTGATGTACCGCCGCTAATTAACTTTGGAAGCAACGCCGAAGATGAGGCCTATGCGGCTGACGCCCGCGACCTCGTCAAGCAGCTGCCCAATTCTATCCGAAGCGCGGACGTGAGGGTTCCTGGTCCCAAGACCGTATTCTTGACTGGTGCAACGGGCTTCCTCGGTTCTTACATTCTGCGCCAACTCCTGAGTGACCCTGAGACGCGCGTTATTGCGCATGTCCGTGGCAAGGATGCCGCGTCTGGTGTTAGTCGTATCGAGACTATTTCCAAGGCGTACAGCATCTGGTCTGATGGCTGGAGACCTCGCCTCGAGGCTGTGACTGGCGACATCTCGAAGCCGAATCTTGGTCTCTCGCAGGCCGACTGGGATCGCGTGGCTAACGAGGCCGACGCTATTATCCATAATGGTGCTCAAGTCAACTGGATGCTTCCCTACTCAAGCATGCGTGCGGCCAATGTGCTTAGCACGGTTGAATGCGTAAACCTCGCCGCGACTGGCAAGCCCAAGAGTCTCGCATTTGTCAGCTCCACATCCACCCTCGACTCGGACCACTACGTCGAGCTCTCACAGAAGAGCATTGCAGAAGGCGGCACCGGGGTTCAAGAAGACGATGACCTTGAGGGAAGCCGTAAGGGCCTTGGCACAGGTTACGGCCAGTCCAAGTGGGCCAGCGAGTACATTGTGCGCGAGGCTGGCAAGCGCGGGCTCGTCGGTGCCGTTATTCGCCCCGGCTATGTCACGGGAGACCCCGTCTCTGGCACATCCATCACCGATGACTTCCTTGTCCGCCTCTGGAAGGGATGCCTCCAGGTCCAGGCAAGGCCTGACATCGCCAACACGGTCAACCAGGTGCCCGTCACGCAGGTCAGCCGCATCGTTGTCGCTTCGGTGCTGCACCCGCCCGTATCCCCTCTCGGTGTCGTACAGGTGACGAGCCACCCGCGTCTCACGATGAACGAGTGGATCGGCGCCCTCGAGAAGTACGGATACGATGTGCCCAAAGTTCCCTATGCCGATTGGTGCGCCAAGCTACTCGCGTACGTCAGCGATGAGAAGAAGGAAGAACACGCACTCCTTCCCTTGTTCCACTTCGTCACTGGCGATCTCCCCGCCAATACGGTCGCGCCTGAGCTCGACGACCGCAACGCCGCCACGGCGCTCCGCAGCGCTGGTGGCCTGAGCGCCGAGGAGGAGAAGGATCCGCTCGTGGCCGGCGCCGTTACCCTGGACGTTGCCGGAAGGTACCTCGCGTATCTTGTCGCTACGGGCTTCATGCCCGCTCCCGAGGGTAAGGGGGAGAGGGAGGTGCCGAAGTTGGAGCTTGGGGAGGAGAAGTTGACGGCGCTTGCAGCATTGGGTGGAAGGGCCGCTGCGAGGTAGATCGGCGTTGGGGGTTTGAGGAGAGAAAGATCCTGGGAATAAACATAGGATTGAGGACGAAAAAAGAGATGTCTAGATGGCGAAAAGTACTAAATCTTTGATCTGGAATAAGAATAGATCATACATGAATTGACTAACGAGATGCTTTGGACTTGAGAGCGTTGAAATGTAGCCACCAAATATGTCAATGTGAGCGGTCCCAAGCCTTTAAACCTGGATTCACATCACCTATTGGAGTATACTGCTAGTTGAGTAAAAAGGTGAGGTCGAAGGCGATTTATTCAGAGACTCAGCGCTGCTTCATCATGCCCAGGTAAATTACACTCTTTGTCACCGACTCCTAACATCCAACCCCGAACGAGGATATATCGGTTGATTTTTCTTCCAGGAGAGACAGACAGTAGAAAAAGAAAAGGAAAAACTCAACCCCGTAAATACCATAGCCCATCCCCTCCCCCACCCCTCACAAAGCAATCAACGCCGCCACAGCAAAAGCAGCACCCCCCACCAAAACCCCCTGCAACCCAAACGCACCCGGCGTCCCCGCACCGCTCTCATCAGGCTTCGAGACGAAGACGCCAGGGGCAGCAGCGTCGGCGAGTTTCTTGAGAACATAGATCTCCCCGGTGCTGTCGGCGGAGACCCAGAGGCGGCCCTGGGAGTCGAAGGCGAGGCCGACGGGGCGGAAGCAGTTGGCGGGGCAGGCGGAGAGGGAGGGGTTCGTAAAGATGGGGGTGAGGGCGTCTGTTGCGGAGAGTCGGGCGGTGGGTTGGCCGTTGGTGAAGGAGACGGTTGAGACCATGTAGCCGACTGGGTTTGTGGGGTCGACTTGTGGGAAGAGCTCGAGTTAGTAAAGGAAGAGAGAGGGGACATGGAAGAGAATGAGAGAGAAGGGGGGGGAGAAGGGGGTTAACTTACAGCTTCCGCGGAAGGATATGTAGAGAGTGCTTCCGTCGGAGTTGAACAGGAGATTCAAAGGCGACGTGTGAGCCGGGAAAACCAATCGAGGAGCAACGGTATCCTCGGCGCATTTCTCGTCCGTAATATGCGTCTCGTTCGTGCTAAACAGATCACCCGTTTGGAGACCTTCGTTATCAGGCACGTTCGTATCCCAAATCGGATAGCAATAGGGATATCCATAATTCCCGCCCTCCGCAGTCTCCGTCGCCTTGCTGTGCATATTCAACTCCTCCCCAGGATTGTTCTTCTCGATATTCTGCCCATTCCTCGTAACCTCATCCACAGAGGTCTCGACGGAGTAAATCCTCCCCGAATCAGGATCTTCAGCAATACCCACCGAGTTCCTCAGACCCCATCCGAGCCGCCTTCCGTCCGAGTTGAAGGTGTACTTGGCTCCGCTCGCCAGCTTGTTCAGATCGAAGATCTTGATCTGCGACACGCCCGTCGTGGGGTCCTCGGCGTCGACGTCGAAGTTTTCGTCGCTGCCGCGTGAGACGGCGAGGAAGCCGGGGGATTTCTGGGACATGAGGAGGGTGCGCGTTAGGTGGTCGTTGCTGGACATGCCGTCGATGACGGTGCGCGGGGAGGAGGCGTCCGCGACTGTGCCGGCTTTGGCGTCGTAGGTGTAGGCGAAGACGGATTCTTCGGTGGATGCGTAGAGGGTCTTGCCGTCGCCGGAGAAGGCGAGGCCATGGTTCAACTGAAATTGTAAATTAGCGTCATGACGCATGTAGGGTCAAGTGTGTGTAAGTGAGAGAGAGAGAGGGACGACATACGTCCTTGTTGTCAATGAGGAGCTTATTCTCGGCTACCTCGAGACAAGTATCACCATTGTCAGTAAACTTGACGCGGCGGACACCGACGCCCGCATCGAGGATAATAAGACTGCCCTCGGTGTCGAAGTGCAGCGTCCGGGGCTTCTTGAATCCGTTGGCGACAAGTTGGCCTTGCCAGCCCGAGGCGAGGGTGGGACTCTGGTAGCTGGGGACGATGACATTCTCGCATTTGGCGAGGGCGCCGGCGGCGAAGAGGGCCGCGGCGAGGGCGGTGTGCTTGAGCATCATTGTGTTGTGTGTGTAAGTGGGGAGATAATGTGAGAGTCGAGAGTAAGGGAATAGGTAATGAGTTAAGGATCAACCAGGAGTTGAGGACCAGCTTCAGTGTGAGTTACAGGCAAAACACTTCAGCTCTCTCGAGACGATAAGTATAAGTATGCAGGGCGATATTAGCGACCGAGAAGGGAAAGCCGGTTGTCAGCTCAAGCTTCACCCAGCAGGAAAAGAAAGAGAGCAAGCTCTAGGGAGGAAGCGAAGAAGAGAGGCTAGGATTGAGTATTTGCCCGCCTCTCCGCGGAAAGGGTCTACAACTTACAGAGATCCAAGCCTCGGGATAGTTCTCCAAGGTCCGGGGCAGGGTGCACACTCCCCTCCCCCACCCTTTTGAGCGGCCGTGGAGCTGGGGCGAGTTTACTCAACTGTCATACTTGGGGTTGGTGTTAGTTAATCCGATTCTAGCCCGGTAGCTAGCAAGGGATTCCAGGATCTACGGCGCTCAATATGGATTTATTGGATATAGAGAGGGGGTAGGTAGGGGCGTGGAAGAGGAGGAGACGAGAGGGGAGGCAGAGGGTCAGCACGGAATCACGGTGCGGTGCGCGAGAAAGAAGCAGATGGGCACCTCGAAGTACCGATACAGCGAGCCATTGAAGAAAGGACGTCAATTGGAGCAACGAGACTTTGGATCGGAGAGAATCAATAGATCCATTGATCGAATGTGGTGGTGTGGGGGAACCATTGTCGAACGGAACCGTGGATTCGCTTGCAGCGCCAAGTCGATCTCGTGCCGGTTCGGTATTGGCCCGCCACTCTTGGTCTCTCACGCCCTGGTTCTCATTGTACGATATTTGCACGAAAATCTTCGTCTGGTCGTGTGGCTGGGCCGCTACCGGAGAAGCAGGAGACTGAACAGTTTATCGCTCGTTTGTTCATTTGAGTGATGGGTGTCTTTCATGCTCTGCTTCGAGCTTATCCAAGGTGGGCTCTCGGAGGATGATGCCACGAAGGATCTCAGGACAGACATGTCAAAATAAGGATTAGCTCCATGACCAGGTCATGGCGGGAATATAAGCTTCAATGCGCGGTGCTGCTGTGTGTCTCCACAAGCTGAGAAACACCGGAAATTTGGACCATGCCGGAGAGCAGCTAGCACCGAGTGGGACCTGATGCAGGACAAGACAGAAATCAGTGCGGAAGCGTCGAGAAGGCGAACGAGAAGCGCCTGCGGTTCACTAGCTGTAAAAGTAAAGCCAGGCCGTCTGAGTTCCAGAAGGAAAAGTACATTGGTAACATGATCAGGTCAAGGGAAACACTCAGCAAGATGAGGCCTTTTCTCTCCTCTGCTGCTCTCTGGTACAGGAAACGGCGTTCGTACGAGGGAAAAAAGACTGATATCAGGCAAGCAAGTCGATGTGAATATTGAAGAGGAAGGCTGGGCCAACTGTAATACAAGGTCACTAGATCAGCTCGCAGAATTAACTGTAGGGAGTCCCATCTTCCAATCTATCAATGACCGTGCTTCCTTGAAGATGGTGAATAAAGGGTAATCCTGACCCTACTTCGTACAGAGTTGCAGCACACTCGATCCCTTCGAAGCGGTTGACCCTCCGTTGGGAAACTCAAGGAGCTGGGGGTTTGCACAACATCTCCTGGCATGCTGCCATTTTACAAGGGTGTTCCACTACCCCTGCCCTGGTCGCCAGCGGGAGATTTCATGGCCGAAAACCCACTCAAAGTGCGATCCAACTGCCGAGATGGTCGCGATCCAATGGAATCTCCCCAAAACCTCACCCAGAGCCAGTGGGATGGCATTCTCCGCGTCTCCAACCATCCCCAAGTGAAGGCCGGGGAATAGCGGTGTATAGAATCCGCTTGGTGTTAGACTCAAGCCCATCATCGACACATACTCGGATTGGGCAAGCCGGGAGGCAATTTCGCATTGATCATTGATCAATGATCCCAACCCCGCCGCCACCGTTGACTTGGTGCGACAGAATCACCATCGCTTTGCGGGAAGAAGAGAAACCCCCCGCACTAATCCGTTTCGGTGAGGTCGGATGCGGGGGTGGGCTTCCCTTCTGCATGTCAACCTCTGCCAACGATGGCCGAACACCCCACGGCGAATCAACGGTTTGGGAGCTAATTATAAGCAACATTCATTGGTACACTATGGCCCGCTCTCTGAGGCGGCCATTTCCTCCTCAAAGTGTGGTCCGCTACTAAGCTTGGATGCGATGGCAGAGACATTGCGAGGGGTAACGGCCATGATCTGTATGTAATACGAGATCACGAACTTTCGCTGCCCAGCCGATGCGGGATTCATCGTGCAAGGCACTGGAATATGCCGGCTTCGCTGTCTGTCCAAAGCCCCGGGTTAGCGATCGCGATCGGGATCGGGATCATGGTTCGGTTCTCGGATTCACTGGATATTGCCCAATATATGTTGAGTAATATCTGTTAAATATTTGCCATCCCAGAAACCCAGACACGAGCTTGCTTGCCAAGGAAATCTTCCGCCTGACCCAGAAAAAGGCCGCCCCCAATATTTGGCATGGAACATGGATTCATTCCGCAAACGAAAGGCGTGGGACAGGTCAACACAAGCCGTGTTGGCTTTAGTCATTCGACTGAATGGACCCTGGTCAAGGCATATGGGGGCTAGAGGAGCCAACGAAGGTGGTGGCAGGTGAAGTTGAGTTGCTCGCCTCCGACAATCATGATTTATCTCGTACTCGGAGGTGACGATAAATATGGACGGTTCTCGGAAGAGTCGTTGCTCTGATGAGTTCTTCCATGCAATCGGTCTTCCATACAATGAATGGGGTGGCCTTGGCCTTTCCCGAGTCTGAATCCAATCCAAAAGATACATGATCCGTCTACATCATCAAGGAAGCTTCCATCCGCCACCGTCGTCTGATCCAATATCCCCAATGTACTTCGTAAATCAAGTGGTGTCCACGGCCATTTTCCTCCAGGCCCGGCAACCTTGGTACCGGCCCAGGTCCATGCATGCACTATCCAAGGATGGGTAGCAATTTCACGGCACGACGAGTGCCTTCCTCAACCTGTCTCCGGACCCAGACTTTCCATCCCGCCTTCCTAATATCGCAGCACGTACTTTGTGGCCAACCATGTCCGGACCCCTTCCTTCCCTTCAAAGTTCAGAGTCCAAGTCAAGGTACCGGTACATCGCATCGACTTCCCGGGCCATATTACTCACATGCGCTCCTTGCACCTCAGCGGATGTGGGTAGGGCCTGCCACCCCCCGCATAGGTCGGCAATCTGAGGAAGGAGAAAAAAGGTGAGAGCAAAAAAAAAGAAAAGGAAAGCAAAAAAAGTGAGGAGACAAAATCTCGTTCTCTTTCTAGGGGCAGGTGCCCTTGTGCCCTTGACTTTCCCCGTCTAAGTACATTGTCGCTATTGACTTAGAGCTTTACCCCAAGTTACTTCCGAAACCTTTTTCTCCCCACTTACATCGAGATCTTCTTCTGCTGAGCACTGCACAAAACTGCAGCTCCCCTTCTTGCTTACCCGGAGAGAGAGTTCATGTTCGTTTAGCTCCCTGCAGCAAACTCAAAGCTTCCCGGGACACTATCCACCAGCCCGAGTCCCACAGCTCATATTCTCCTCTAGTTCGATACGATCCTTTCTGCCTTTCCATTTTTTTCATCTTCACCCATTACCGCATCACTCACCTCAGAAACAATGCTCTCCAAAAAGCAGTGGCCCGTGGCCCTGCTCACCATCCTCCTCTCCCTCATCCCCGCCCAAACTGCCGCCGCAGGTCTCCTCCGCCCACGCGACGTCGTCCACGAATGGGTCACCATCGACGGCGGCGGCAAGCCCATCACCAAAAAGGTCTCCGTCACCACTAAGAATGGCGCCGTCTCCACCGTAGCCGGCGTCCCCTACATCCTCACCGGCACAGTTTACACCATGTCGAGTGCGGGGACGCTTACCACCGCAACAGGGAGCCCGCCGCCGCCGACGGCTACGGCGACGAATGGGGCCGGGGGCCAGTTTGCCGTTTGTGATGGGAAGTGGGGAGTTGATGGGCCGTTTTGCCAGCCTTTTGCGAATAGTCGGTTGAGCCTTGGGAAGACATATCTAGGTAGGCCATTTTTTTTTTCTTACTATTATTTTTTATAAAGTTGGAGTAGCGAATAGGCAGCCTAAGTTTCTTTCAGCGGGCATCGAAAAAACTAACTCGCCTGTGTAGTCACCTGGGACACCACCTTCTTCGCCAGCGAGAACCAAGACCAACAAATCACCATCTCTGCCCGCTGGGTTCCCTCCAACGGAAACATAGTATCTGTGACGGCTCGCGCAGGTGACGGCTTTGTCCCCTTTACAATCACCGAGGCCTTCATGCGCGGCTCTAACGGTGCCAAGTCCATCGCCATGGTCATGAAGTACGGCACGGCGGCGGATCCCAAGGAGACCGAGGGCCCGCGCATCTACGTCGTGCGCGATGAGATCTCCGTCATCGATCATGTCGAGAAGAAGGGTCGCAAGGGTGTGCACCCCGCCGCTATTGCCGTGCCTGTCATCGTCGGAGTGTTGGCCGTCGCGCTAGGTTTCTTTTGTCTGTGGAAGAAAAATAAGGATAAGATTGTGCTGTCGAGGATTAGGAGGCGGTCGAGTCAGGGCTATGGTGTTAGTAAGAGCCGTACGCAGAGGGTGGGGTCGGGAGGTGTGGATGGGACGGGGGTTCATGAGGGGGATATTAAGCTGCAGGAGTCGCCGAGGTCAGAGGGGAGGAATGTGTTTCAGGAGGAGTTGAGAAGGCAGGAGACGGGTGGGAGGTTCTAATAAGGTGGGCTGGGGGGGAGTTATGATTGAGGGTGAAGGCATTAGAGCTGGCCATAAGTTCTGGAGAAGGTTGATTGTTGGGATGACTTCTGGGTGGCTTTTTCCTTTTCCGGCGGATATTATTTCCTTAGTATAACTAGATAACCTGGGACATGTGTTGCGTTTTATATGTATTATGGCTTGGATGGTGTCGATGGTTTGAAGATTGATGGTTTGAGCGATGTTAGCCGCAGTTTTTGTCATAGGAGCCTATGCTTTGAATGAAAATAAGGGCATCTTGATGTGTAGCCACTAGGAAATGAGGGATATCTGAGGTTGTAGAGACATGGATTGATACGTAATGTAAAGTACCGGATGTGATGATGCGAAGAGCTTTAGTGTAAGATTGACTACGGCGCAAGGGTTTGTCTTGTCTTCACTGACGTGGTGTCCTGGAAACAGTGATGGTGCCTATCATACGAATTGATCAAATGTATGTACCCCAGACTGAGAGAATTAGCAAGCCCCGAAATCACAGATCCCTTGATAGTATTAGTTGCTAGTTGATCTCCGCATTGTAGACAAGGAGCCGGGGTTTGCAAAAAGCTGATATCCGAGAGTTGCTAATTAATAATCTATCGATACGGCCGTCTAGCTGCCTCGAAGAAAATACGTTTTACATGAAGAGAAGACGGTTACAGCCAAGCCAGGGTTTGAAGCCGGGGTCGGGGATTCGGTGGCTAGTGAAGCCCCCGTCCCCGAGACCAAGTCCGTCCCGTAACCTTATTTTACTCTCCGGGTTCACCCCTGGTCTCCTCTGATTATGAATCAAAGCTGTCGATGGCACCAGCCGGGACTCCGCCGTGGATTTGCGCCGTCGATTTGTAATCTCAACTTTTAAAACACACGATGCATTGGATCATAACTTCATGTTATCTAGTTGGAGCAATTTCAACATCTGGGGCGAGGAGTTCATCTCCCCATGATATAGAACGAAAATCTTAAATCTGTAGATATAAACTTGAAATATTTCCTCAATGCCTGAGATGTAGAATTCTTCATGCCCATGCTTGAGCAATCGCAATTTCACATCCCAATTGATATCGAGCAAACGTAGGCAAAGAGAGCGCAAAATATGGCGGCCAAGACCAGAGTCGCCATCGCAGGCGCGTCCGGAGTGACGGGCTCCTCTATCGTCAACGCCCTCCTTGCAACCCCGAGAAATTCGTACGTCGAAATTCCTTTTCGTGGCTGAGATAATGAAATTAGAAGGGCGAAGACTCGGCGCCTTTGCATATTAACACTCTCACAGGAAGTGACAGCCCTCGCCCGCCAAGCCTCCATCAACAAACCTGCATACGTCGCGTTCGCCAACCGCGGCGTCATCATCAAGCCCATCGAACTCGACGGGCCGTCGGATATCCTCGTCCAAGCTCTCACCGGCATGGACGTCGTCATCTCCACCATGACGTTGCTTCAACTCAAGGAAGAAACGGCGCTCATTGAGGCCGCGCACAAGGCTCGCATAGGTCGGTATGTGCCCAGCCTTTTTGGGCCGTGTTTCCCCCGAGGGGTGTCATGTTGGTTCGAGAGATCGTGAGGAACTCTTCTTTTCTTCTTGGATACTTTTTGGTGCAGTACCCAAGAATCTTTAACTAATAGAGCATTTTCGCTTCCCTGAAATTACAGAAGGAGGACATACTGGATCACATCAAAAGGCTCTACCTACCCTACACTGCCATCGGCTTTGGCTGGTGGTATCAACTCTCCCTGCCGTCCCTGCCATCGGGACGACTCCGCGCCAAGGAGAATATTCGACGACGCAGATCGTCGGCGACGGGAACACGCCCTGGGCCCTGACGGATAACCGCGATATCGGAAAATACGTCGCGAGAATCATTGTCGATCCGAGGACGTTGAACAGGGCCGTTTTCGGGTACAGCAAAGTTTGGACGCAGACTGAGGTCTTTGATCTTCTTGAGAAGGTGACGGGCGAGTCTGTCCCACGAGAATATGTATGTGCCCATTGCTGTTTCCCTGAGCGAGCCCAACTGCTAAAGAAAGACCGTAGGTGACCAAGGAGGAACTGCTCGAGATCATCTCAGAAGGCGAGGCGGAGATTGCCAAGAACAACATGGACCCAAGCGGCATGTTGAAGCTTGGCATGGCGCAGTATCGAAATTTGCTGGGTATCAGAGGGGATAACACCCCTCAGCATGCCAAGTATCTCGGATACCTCGACGTCAAGGAGCTTTACCCAGACGTGGAAGCCACACCGCTCGAGAGCTATATCAAAGATGCTTTCGAAGGCAAGGTGAAAACGGTCTACTCGTGAGAGTCTGACGTCTCCCGCAGGCGGTTCAATACTTGGTTTTGAATCCCCAGTTTTGGGGTTGCACGAAATTAAGCCCAGGGAACATCTATATGAATTTCTAGAATACTACTTGACATATATATGTGCTACCTATGCTGAAACAAAGAAACCGCCTCTTGAGAATAGCAGCCCAGAACTTGTATAAACTTACTTCCCTGGGCCTTTTCTCCTGTTAGCTGTCATGAGGCTTTTCTTCGCGCAACTCTTCCCCCTCAATACCCTCGCTTGGTAGCATGATGGCGCGGTCGAGAGCATACGGGAGCGAACGATGCCGACCGCGAATCATGATGAAACACATGATCACCTTGCTAAAAGTTGTGAACTTTCCGCTCAGGGAAGTGTTGACTGAGGGATGGCCGAGGGACAGGCCAACGTTGCCGCTATAAGTGTAAGACACATTGGTTAGTAACTAATCAACAAAAGCAACATGGGTCAGCAAAACGTACTATCCTGATACAACCTCGAAGAAGACTGGGAAAACAGCAAAGGCCTATAACATTGAATTAGCCGGAAACGTCACGCGGAGAAGAAGAAAGGGGGGGGGGTGACCGTCTGTGCTTACAGGATCGGTGCCGTCCATGATCTTCTTCGCTTCAGCAACACAGATTATAAACGTGCCGAGGAAAATATACCACAGGTCAAACGTCAACTGATTCCGGATGTGCGTCATAATATACGACGAAGTCCTCGATTCATTCACGTCTTGCTCGAAAGGGTAGACTCCCAGCGCCCTCTCCTCATACGTATTAGAGGAGCGGATGCTAATGGTGATGGGCAGAATAGCGATATACATCATAATGACGAGACTGAATTGCACGCCGGGGTTAACGAGAGCAAGATTGAACGTCGACGTCCCCGTATGACGCGACGACGCGGCTTGAAAAATGGCCGCTAGAATGCGGGGACCGATGGGCAATTCGTTGACGGCGGGGTTGTGGAGGTCCAGGAGGATGATCAACAGGACGTCAATGAAGTTGAGGGCGAATATGATGAGGAAGAGGACCCAGGTAGTTGTGCTGGGGAACAGGAGCGTATAGCAGCGACGCGGGTGGTCGAGGATGAATTGAAGAGTCTCCTTCGTGGATGACTTGGCGGGCACGCATTTATAGAAGATCCAGATGGCGAGGCGGAGGAAGACGGGGTAGAGCGTGTTGCCGGCGAAGGCGAGGAAGGACATGAGGATCATTGGCCATGTGGCGTCCCGGAAGTGAATCATGGAGTCAGGGGTTAGGGTGAACCCGAGGTTATCGGTCATTGTCTGGGAAGAGTAGAAAGCCCTTTGAAGAGATGTCACATCGTCAGAATGGGGTTCTGTGGGAGAGAAAGAATGGCGAGAGAACGTCGGGGACTCACCACCAAGTCTTATCCTGTCCGCACTCTTGCAAATAATCCGTATACTTCGTCGGAGCTCTATGAATCCACCCGACGAGACAGATGGCACCGAAGATATGGAGGCCGAAAAAGTAGCCTGGGTAGTTATATGTTAGCTCTGTCACTCAAGGGCTACGGGTAAGGCCTAATGTAAAAAGGGAATGGGGGAGGAAGAAATCGTCAGCTTTTACCTGTAACGATTTTGAGAAGAAGTTTGAGGCTTCGATACTCAATGCCACCAAGTCGACTCCTGTCCTCAGCCGTGAGGTTATACAGGCGAGAATTACGTCCGACCGTGACACCCCTCGACAGACCGGGCAGATTCAAGGGGCGAGGTTCTACTTTACGGGAAGTCGATGAACTTTCGCGAGTCAGAATGCCTCCGGGAGCGAGGAACGAAGATGCCACTCTCTCCAGGGACATGGCCGTGGACATGCTCGGGCCGGCGCGGTGATGGTGAGTCCGACGGCGTTTGAGGCCGCTTGGATCCCTGGAATCAACTGGCTTAATGGCGTCCTCATCTATAGGATATATTAGTGAACAAGAAGTCCATAGCCCAGAGGCAAGGGCAGAAAAAGAAAGGCGGGACGCGGTGAGGTTTAAGGTTAACCTTCATCACTGGTGTCTTCCGCATCTCTCTCGACAATCGGATAACCTGTGCGCTTTCTGATTAGAAACGGCATTCTTTCAGGATCCACAGCCAAGCCGCCCGAAAGTATGGGCGAGGTCTCCAAGGGGATTCTTACCTCTATCACGCTCCAATGGGGGAGGAATGTATAGGACTTTCGAATTCCTGCGAGGGTGCTCGTCGTCTGCGAAGGTGATATGACCATCTGACTTTCGCCCAGCCTCATCTGGGGATGGAGGACTGGGCTTCGGCTCTGAGTCCTGCGGATTCGGTTCCGGATCCCGCTCCCGCTGTTTGCCGGACGTGTTATCTGAGCTGTCAATGTTCTTTTGATCACTTTGGGCAATTGTATCGGATCTCTGATTCGACTCTAGGTCTTCTTCTTGATTTGGACTTGGTAAACGGAAGGCTAGATGGAATTATCATCGTTAACAATGTATGAAGAACGACTCGCAACTGGGGATAAAAAAAAAGGAAAAAAAAAAAAAAAAAAAAAAAAAAAAAAGAAGGGGAGGAGAAAGAGATCTACACACCTTTCTCTTTGAGTCTCTTCTCGAACCAATACAAGCGCACGGCCACGACGACGGTATTGATGAACCCGAGATTGGTAAATATGGGAATGAAATAGATGTAAAGCTGCTGGTAGGTGGGTATGTCTTTGATATCAACACTGTCGCAAGACGAGGATTAGAAAAGATCGCGCATAGGAAAGAAGTACGCGGGAGAGAAGAGCACCAGGAGAAACGTACGTGTTGAGACCAGACTCGGTAGATCCGCTGGCACCAAAAAAGTAGGCATCGACAGCGGGCATGTTTCCGTACGGGCAGATGACGACGAGGCTCAGGAGCCCCATGAATATGATCCACGCATCTTGTGAGGAAACACGAGTCTGTCAGTCTTCTGCTTATCCTTATCCCCATCTCTCTCTCTCTATTTTTTTTTCTTCTTTCTTTTCGATCATCCTGGGGCTGCCAAAGTGAATAGGGCTTACAGTGGATCGTGATGAAGTTGAGAGGTATTCGAGGCTTCCACATTGTGAACCAGGGAGAAATCGCAAACACAGACACAAATCGGGAAGAAAAGATCAGAAAGAGGAGTAAGGTGGAGTAAATGCAAAGGAATCACAATCGTCTTCCACAGACTGGGAAGAGAGGCGACTTTTTATCCTTTTCCAACCATAAGAGTCTAGACATCAGACATCAGCCAAAAACACCATATTATGAAGTAGTCAACTTGGAGCTTGAGCCTTTATTAGGCGAGAATTTCCGAGGCCAACCAAGTAACGATCACTACTCCGAAAGCCGGAAGGAGGAAATTCTATCTCGTCTTGGACAGGCGCCTTTGGGCGAGCAAACTGTCTGTTTGACGAGTGCCCTGAATAGAAAAAGGAAAGGAGAAAAACACAAAAAGAGGGCATCATTCTCATTCCATCTCGTAAATCCATTATCAGGGAATTTCCCAATTGGTATCCCCCGACCGACAACAACGCGACTAGAATTGGGTCAAAAAGCAACAGAACAGTGCCAGGAAATAAATCCCTCAGCGATGCTGTACGGACTGACAGATCGCAGACTGACAGAGTATAAAAAATTGCCAGAGATCGCAGGCTACTTGACGCCCAAGTCTCTGATATTCGAGAATCGAGGTAGAGGCTGGCGGTCGGACGAAGCTCCGCGAAACAAGCGGCAGAACATCGCTGGGAGGTTTCGAGCTAGCTGCATTCTGCATATTGTTTGCACCGTTTGCATTTGTCTGACGTCCTGACGCAGGTTAGCACACGCACAGCCCCAATTTCGATTTCCCGGATTGCAACCGCCGAGGTCGAGTCTGATGGAGGTGTTGGATCCAGTCTGCGAGTCTGGTCGAATGGGAGAATCCAGACTCGTCCAAGTCCACGAGGCACGAGGCAGCTGCAACCGGGACTGCCTGCAGGGAGCTTGGGCCACCCCCTCCCCGTTCTGACCCTTTCCCCCTTCCCATCGCGCCTTCCAACTCTCAAGCTCCATCCAATCTCCAACCACCCAACATCCTCAATGATCCCATCCCCGATGCAGTCGGTGCAATCAAATGTTATCGCCGCTGGGGCAAAGTGGTATGGATCGATTTTGATGACGGGAGTGCACTACTTCGCACACACCCCCTCTGTTTCGTATTACGGACTATTTACTAGTGCCGGGGCTATGCCCGCGCCCGCTTTGCGTTTCTATTATTTTTTTTTTGTGTGGGTGTTATCCCAATTGGGGCCCCGAGAAATTTTCTTTCGTCTGTCTTTTGCTCACACAAACTCACGCAAAACGCACACAAACCGCCGATCCCATCCCATGGACACGGACATGGCGACCACGTCGTAGTGATCTCGCGCTGTCATGCGAGGAGCAAAGCACGGCGGGCGGGAAATTGGGAGGCAGCCCATGGGATCAGGACCCCACGCGGGAGGTTGTTCTTTTACCTACAGCGTTTCCTCAAAAGCTCGCAGTTGAAGGGCGGAATGGATGCCGTATCTCGTGGGGTTCTCTATCCTGAGACGCTGTCTGGATGTCGATCCCCCAAGCAGCAGGCAGTGTGGATGCCGCGGGTTCCTTTGGCCTGTTGGTGCGTGACTGGGTACAGATGTGGATTCGCTCATCCAGCCACTCGCCGCTTACCCACTCACCCATTCACCCAGGAAACGTTGATCACTTACTCCGATGAGCACAAGGTCATCGCTAGCAAGTGTGATTGGACGTATGTGTTAGCCAGACTTTGAGCATAGCGAAGTATCAGGGACTGGATGCCGCTAGTAGTGACGTCAGTCGAAGGCGAGCAGGAGGACGAAGTCGATGTGGTGTAGCCCTCATCCTCCCCGTCCACTCAGCTCTTCCTTTCCGTCCTGATTCCCTCTCCATCGACACCAACGGAAACGTATTTAGTAGTTAATTCCCCTGACTAGTGGTTTGGGCTACTTTGACTTGAGCCCACCTTGCCAGCGTTCCCACCAGACACTCCTCTGCCTTTTGACTCTTGCTCTCTCTGAGTACTGGTACTGTGCATTGGAAGAGTAAGTTGACAACGGTGGGTCTCGGAAGCCCTTGGTGGGCACCGAAACCTGTCTGCTCAAAGAATAAATAGTGTAGATGCATACGCGAGAGACGCACTGCAACTGATCGTCAGCGAAATGCCGCTAGCCGAAGATGCGAGTGGGATTAAAGAATAAGAAATATAATCGGACAGTTTTGATTAGTTCACATTATGCAGGAAATGCCTCTCTCTATGCTTGAACTTGGAATTTTAAGGAGCAGGCGGTCAGCCTTTGAGCGACAGCACAACGTCTTGCCCAGGCATGTTCTCTCCTCCCTCCCCACCCACACACAGTGACATATCTACAGTGGGCGTGGGCGTGGACATGAGGTGTATAAAAGGGGGGGAGCTGTCTGTGTATTTCGTTTTCAGATAGGGTAGGGTAAAGGGGGGGAAAGGCTCAATACACACAAACATATCCGATTTCCTCATTTAGACAATAAAAGCCATGTGTAAACTACCAGGACTTCTTTCGGGGGAACAAAGGGCACCAATTTCAGGAACCCAAGACAGCCCAGAATCTCAGGTAATACGCAAGTCCCCATTCTCGCCCGCCTCAAACCGACACTCAAGTCTAGGGACCAGGAAAAGGGGCATCGAGAGTATCATACAGCTTTAAAATGGAAGAGTAACCCGCATTTGTTGCGGTTCAAGTGTCTACTGAACGTATCATGATACTTCGTACTGTGGCACCCCATCATCTTCGGCAGCGTTTCTGCAGGTCTACACCACGAAGCTGCCTTACCTCCCAAACTTCGAGGAAATATTAGCCATAGCGCCAGTCCGGCTTGGACCTGCGACTGTCTATGTGAGCCTGTTACTGGCAATTAGTATGGCACTGCTGAAGAACACGAAATGGTCTTGGAGAGAAACTCACTTCTCGAGCAAAATGAGTCCGTTCATAACGTCAACCCGCCCATACTTCTTATTTCGCGTAGACGAGTCAAAGAACTCCTCGTGGTTGTCGCTCTGCATCAAGTCGACTGTCTGTTGCAGCTCATCCAGGTTCTCTTTCAGCATGGGTCCATTTTCAAGGCCATCGACATAGTCGCGAAGGTACTGCACATCTTGGGCAAGAGCAGCCACTCCATTTGCATTGATACGCTGGACCTCTGGGGAGAGAGGTAGTGCCTTGAAAACGTTAGTCTCTGTTTTTTGGAGAGAAGGCGGAAGTAAACGAGTGGGCAAGGCTTGGTTGAGGGTTTCTCACAAAAATCTTATTCGCTGCGTGACTCAAGGCATCAAAGTATATGAGCTCTCTTATCTCACGGGGCAGCCTAAGTAATATTGAGCTCATGATGGTAGAGAGATAGCGCCTCAGCATCTGGATGTAGTTGCTTGGCTCCGGTGAGGTGTTCACTGCCGCCCAGTCATATTCAGCCGTATCAACAAGATCGTCGATCTTGGAATTAATCAGCTCAAACACTCGTTTCTCGGCAGTCTTTGTCTCGTTCCTGAACTGCTCGGTTGCGCTTAGAGCTACCGGTCCACGGGCTGAGGAGGACGACAAGAACTTTTCCAGTTCCTGACAGGCCTTCTCAAAGAACTCGAGATTGATTAGGATCTGGACAACTTGGCTAAGATACTGGGAGCTCAGTCTTGCAATTAGTGAGGTACAAGCCACTTTCAATAGCCTGTCCAGCGCCTGTTAGGATATTAGTGCCGATGTCCCTACGACGGCAAATAGCAACAATTCATACCTTTTGCAATTCATCGTCAATAATTTTTGCCCGCGGGAAGTAGTCCTCTGTGAAGAAGTAGAACTGGTTGATGAGGTTCCGTATGTCGATGCAAAGGAGCGGGTACATCCGGGAAAAGGGCATGGCGCAAGGAAACCTAGGACATCGTCAGTAACGCCTCGATCGCTCCGGTTGATGTATTGTATTGATGAATCTCTTCATGGCAAGGCAATGAATGCACTAACCTCAGTTCGCTAGATTCGTCGTAGATGAACCAACAAACAGCAACTACCTTCTCGTACTCATCCAAAGTGCGTATCTCCATCGGCATGTAATCATCGGTGGTGGCAATCTGTTGGGGAGTTAGAATAGATGGCGGGTAACAATATCGTTAAGTTCATTATGCCATATTTTAACTTGCCTCCTGGAAGTCCTCGCTAACCCGCTGCTGGAGAAGCTCCGCATACTTCTCAAATAGTTTGACGAGGAAGCTGTCTAGCGTTGACACTGAATAGCCCCATCCCTGGTTTCGCTATTAGCCATGGGCGTGAAACAAAGTAGCCGTTTCCGTACCTCCATTGTCTGTATGAACAAGGCCATATAGCCTTTGGTTTTGAGGAGGACCTTGGGGTCAGTTACGCCGTCGAGTGCCTTTGTAGTGAGCTGGATCATCATTTGGCACATCGAATCCCACAGTTCTTCCACCTGATAAAACGAGTTAGCTCTGAAAACAGATCTGCATGGCTAAGCTCGGGGCGAGCCTACATCAACGGTCGACCGCAGCTGAGGTGCTCGGTGCAACGTCGCCATTTCAATAATGGCAAATCCAGCAATCCCCTCCAATAGGCTACTCAACGAGGATTCGTCGTCGGCGTCTGTCAAGTTAACTGAAGCGAGGGAAAATAGATCCTTCTGCCGCTGCCTCGTTGCAGAGTATTCTATCCGGAACTTGTCGCTTTGGCCAAGGGTTTCGTGGACATGCATGCATTCAAAGAGAGGGGTGAAGTCGATGTGGAGTTCCTCATTGTCCAGGATATCAAACTGTTCAGTCTCATCCAATACCAACTCTATCGCCGAGTTTAGCTTGAAGTTGGTCATGAGCTGGTTCTCCTCACTGCGCTTCCGTTGCCGAATTCTGCGAAGCTCCGTTTGGCGGAAGGCGACCTCCCCTAAGAATTGGGAGGTCTCTCTGATACGAAATAGCCACGTATTCAAGTCGGCCATAGTAGCTTCTGATATGGCCCTTTGGCAAGTAGCGATAGATTTCTGAACAGCAGAGGCTAGCTGCTGGTGGGGGCCATATTTGCTTTGGATTGAGGGGATTAGGTGCTCTTTCTGGAGGTCCTCGAGTGATTTTAGTGCGGCGAGGTACTTCTTCTTGCTGTGGATAAGATCGTACGCGTAATTCGCGGCGTAGAGAATCTCGAGAGATCCTCGGAGGGCGTTGGACGCATCCCGGGTGTTGCGTCGAACTCCACTGACGTCGACCAGCCTTTGCATTTTCTCTGCCGCCTTCTCTGTACTGGATTGGATCGATTGGCTTATCTCCAAGATGTCGCGAGAAAGTGTGGCAATTTCCTCCTGTATTTTCTGGAGTTGCTCCACGGAATCTAGCAGCCCCTGCTGTTCTGGTAATGAGATGGCCTCAATCTCAGACTCCCTAGATTCGGCATATTCATCTAGCTCCTGGATCAATAATGGCACTCTCAAGGTAGTCGAGGCATCTTTGAGGATTGTTATGAGTTTATCGATAAAATCAAGCTCTGAGGAGGATGATATCATCTAGGACACGAAGGAAGAGATGAGCATATTTCCGTTGCTGGTCTTGTCGATGAACCATGATAGGGATACGTACCTGGTCCAAGGTTGGCCCATAGTCGTCCTCTGTTTTGTGAGGCATCGTAAGTGAAAAAGCACAATTGGCTGCCGAATAAGCCTTCTGTTTGAAACCTGGTTCCTACAGTTGAGGCCTATCTTAAAAAGCTATGCCCTGCTGGGGAGATCATTGAGGAATGCTACAATTGATTTCGGCTTTCGTCAGGCTGCGTCGATTGGATGGAGGAACTTCAGCAGGCTGCAGCACATCTTCCGCAGCTTGAGACCCCGTGCCCGCCCCCACCCGTCTTTACTTCAAATTCTTTGAGTGGTCTCAGCATTCCATATCAGTATTCTACAAACATTTCGAGTTCTGGTCCCAACATCAAATGTTGCATCCAATTCTCCAGTTTATTCTTATGTCAGCGGCATCCGTTGCGGTTATCGAGATATCGAGACTCGCCTTTGACATTTCCCGAGACAGGTTTATATACGACCACATCAGGCTTTATATCTCCATCAACTCTCCGGCAATGTTGAGAATCAAGTTTGAGGCTGGACACTTGTGACAATTGATCAATATTTAAGCAGACAAACGCAGTGTGAGGCCTAAACAATCCACTCAAACTCATTCTTCAGTCCCTCTACGCCGCTTTTATCGCCCACATCCAAATATCCGCAAATCCGACCTTGAGGATCCCACTTCTTACGAATCTCCCCCAACCTCTCTCCATTCTCCTCGCTCCAGAATTTAGTCCTCCTCTGCTGGAAGTCCGCATCCCCTAGGTAGCTACCAACGCTATGCCGCTCAACATCGCGCATAATATCGTGGACCCAACGCGTGCAGCGCTCGTCATCTGCCGCGTCTTCCCAGACAGTATAGAGTGCAAAGTAATGATCAGACTGCATACTAAGTGCCATATCCGGCAACGCGCGCCTTGAAGTCGGGTTCATAGCAAAGTAGAGTGAGAACGCCTTTTTGCTCGGCAATGTCGTGAATGCGACCTCCAGCACAGAGGCCACGTCGGCCTCGTTTCGCAGGTACGCGTTCTCGCTGCAGTACCGGTGATTGGGTGGATTGGCCGCGCTTTGGTGGTCATACTGCCACGCGAGGTTGTTTTCCAGGCAGAATAATTCTGCGAGGGCGCCGCTTGGCCGGCTCTCGTGAATGGGTTTTAGTGCCGCCTCTGCCTCCGACATATTCGCTGCGAAGGCGGTAAACCCTGCTATGATTTCGATTTCGCCGGTGATTGGCGAGCACCTAGAGACGCACACAATCTCCATGCTCGAGTCCGCTGTCGGGCAAAGCTGTGATGCTATTCAGCACTCCGGATATGGTTTTTTCTCTTTTTCTTCTTGTTCTTTGATGTGACCTACATCGACGACCCATTGAATCACCTCTCGATATTTGGAGACGGGGAACGTGTATCTAGAGTCGAACATCCCCAGCAAGGCTCTGGTGCGAAGGTGAAATCGTGTGACAATGGCCGGGAATCCTGCTCTTCAGCATGAGAAAGGGCTACATCACCCAGAAGTACAAAGTGCAGCACTTGAGCATACCGGGACCAGAGCCCCTTGCGGCCCAGAAAAGATCCGAATCCTCGTTTTCGCTGCAGCGAAGCTCTTGTCCATCAGCGGAAACAACATCAATGCTGACGATGTGCTCACACGCCCAACCCCAGTTCTAAAGCACACTTGAATGTTAACTTGCCTGCTCCTCGGTGAATTTGCAAGACTTTCGGAACGAACCTTGCAATTCCAGCCCATCCCTCCTTGCAAAAGGAACCCGCCCAAGCCAACATCCGGGCAATGACCACCGGGAAACACCCTTCCCTTGGCGTTGAGGAACTTGTTGATCACACGACCTGTAGTACTCGGGGAACATGACACAATTTGACTCTCTTCATCGTAGTAGATCTCGTTCATCTGCCCAAGGTCGATGAGGATAGCTTCGTCCCGAACGCTCCACGCAGCCCAGCTATGCCCGCCGCTTCGGACGGAAACTCGGCAGCCTTGCGTTTTGGCAAGCTCGATGGCTGCTGTTACATGCTCGGGTCTTGAGGCAAACACGACGGCGAGAGGCTTCCGGCTCGTGTCCCGTCGTTCGTTGAAGACGCGGCCCCATGCTGCCTCGTAAAATGTGTTGGGGTCCGTCTTGTCCCTGTAGAGGATGGGAAGAGTCAAGTTCTCTGTTCCATTTGGCTGGCTCATTTTTTTTTTCGAGGCATTAGACTTAGCAAGGACTCGGAAGGTAAGAACTGTGGGTAGAATGAAGGGGCCTAGTACATGGGCTCGGCCCTTACGTTTCTCTACTCTCCCGCTTCTTATATATTTATGTCTAGCATGTCAGACCGTGCCCAATTTCTATCAAGTAGATTCTTTTGTCGACTAGGAAATTCAGGGTACGCTCCCACAACCAGTTTTCTGGAGCGTGCGTCATCTTCCAAAGAGGGGCCGACGATATTTTGCCGTCACCGCCCACATGCCGAGATTCGTACATCCTAGTGATGGCTACCATGGTTATCCCCGTCTAGTTCCTGCTTATTTTCATGTCAAGGCTATCGTCAGCTGGATGCTTGTGGGGAAACAACGTTTGAATCAAGTTGACTTATTTAATACCACCGGCAGTTTCCCTCGCTCGTTGGCGAGGCAGAATTCGGGTAGTATGCGGGACTAGACTTCCAGACACGGGCAGATTTAGGGCAGCCGCAAGAGACATGATCGTAGTGAGTTCTACGGCAATCATAAGCTAAGGTATTGACTCAATAAAGTAGTCTTGATCAAAGCGAGGCTTGACTCCAAACGACGACTGTCCTAATATGATCTGGAGCAAACGGCGAACACAAGTTTGCCCGAACCACCCCAGTGAACATGCTGTCCTACATTTAATCTATATGCAAACCTCCACTTGCAACCAAGTGCAGTCCATTAATCCATCCCGCCCTCGGCTCACACAAAAACCCCACAGCGAAAGCAATCTCTTCCGGCCTCGCCAAGCGCTTCCCAACAGGCGTCTGATCCATCACCGGCCGCATGGTCCTCATAAATTCGTCGCCAGCATCCGCGAAAGCCGGCGTCATCGTCGGCCCCGGGCTCACCGCGTTCACGGTGCATCCGTAGCGAGGGGGCAATTCCTTAGCCCAGACTTTCGTGAAGCTGTCAACCATGCCCTTTGTCCCCGCGTAAATGGTTTGCAGCGGAGGTGCAGCTCGAGCAGAAATCGAACAAATGTTCACTATGCGACCGCCGCCGGGGTCCGCAGATCTCCCGTCCGGCTTGGGAAGATATGGCAGAGCCGCTTGCGTGAGAAGGAAGGTACCCCGGCCATTGAGATTGACCAGGGTGTTCCAATCGTCCAAGGTCTGTTCGGCGAACGGCTTGTTGACTGCAAGGGCCGCATTGTTCACCAGGATGTCGATACGTTGATACTTGGCGACGGCGGCATCCACAAGAGATTGCGGCCCAGCCGTTTTGCTCAAGTCTGCCTCCACGGCTATAGAAGTGGATGCCGTGGCGAGGGAGGAGAGAACATTCTCCGCGGCGAGTCGAAGGTCGGGGAAAGGGTAGTTGATCACCACGCTTGCGCCGCGAGAGGCAAGCTCCTGGGCGATGGCGGCGCCGATGCCTACGCAGGATCCGCTGATAACGGCAACTTTATTCCTAAGTGTTTGATCCGGCATTGCCATTGATCTTCTGAACTAAGTAGCGAAAAGGCGAAAACGGTATAAAGGTACAATAAAAAGCATTATTCGTGAGTAGAGGACGGAAAGCTCCATCAGAGATACAAGTCTGATGAGGTGGTTTGGGTGGTGTTATTAAGGCCGAAGGAAATTCGAAGAAGCTAAGATTCTCGGGGGGAGATCGACATGCAGGGTTAGGTCATATCCGGCATGGCCAGAACTGTGGTGCAGAATTGGATTCTCGATCCTGGAAGATAAACTACCTTTCGGTAATGCGGGGGAGGAGGGCCAAGGTACCCCGGCAAGAGGAGGACAGAATGATCCGGCTTCGTCAAGGAGATTGTGGGGGATAAATCCTAATCTGGGGAAAAGGCATATAGTTCGGGAGCATATCAAGCACATCCTTGTTAAGAGTAGAGGAGTCACAACTTTCGACCTCTGATGTAGACCGCTTCATCGCCCTGGCTATAGTTCAACTGCGAACGACATACCCTACACTAGAAGGACCAGCTATCTGGTACTCTCATGAAGGGCACGAAGGGTTAGAGTGTCAAGCTGGAAAAGTGACGGGTCACAATAATTCCAGTGATTTCCGTCTCCACTACCACGTAGAGGGGTTAGGTGTCCCCAAGTATGAGAGGGAAAGAGAATCGGGATGTGGTCGGCTTCGGAGCCGATGTGGGGTTGGACAGGTCAAGTCTGGATGTCGGTCATGGCTCTCCCGAGATTGAGAGGAGAAGGGTGAGGTTCTCGACTGAAGGAGGAAGAGCCACACAACCATGAAAATCATTGCTAAATATTGAGTGGTGTGAGATTATCACGGGTAGTGAACAAGGAGGGATCTATGATATTCACCCCCGGAGCGATACAGGAGACGTGAGTGGGGAGCGCTGCTTGATAGAAGACGATGGCAAAAGAGCCCACGGAGGTGCATGGGCTGGAGAGTCTCGGCCGCACGCAATACTTGGCCAGCATGCCGGACAGCCGCGGCGAGAATCTCCCTTGCCGAACCAAGCTCGGAGGGAGGACTCCACTACTTGGCAGCACGGAACAATCAGCTACCAGAAATGCACATCATAGTAGCCCTTGAAGGTCTTTGGGGCATCTCGGGGAAATGCGGTGGAGTATAAAATTTGTTTTCGGCCCAAAAAAAAAAAAAAAAAAAAAAAAAAAAAAGGAAAAGGAAAAAAAAAGGAAAAAAAAAGGAAAAAAAAAAAAAGGTGGATATGTCGAAGAAGAAGATGGCGTTTAGCAGGCGTTCCTGATGGAGGGCGCTCTTTCTACTTCGTAGGGAAAACTTCGGGCAAGGCTGGGAAATATTGGCGGTCTGTTCAATGTTGCCTGGCGCTTAATTGCCCTTGTAGTGAGCCAGAACAGAGGACTACATTTGATATACCCCTCATCCCTCATTCTTCGTTCATCATTCACCATTCACCATTCATCATTGTCTGGACCTCTACTGTTCTGCTAATCACAGCCTTGGCGAGAAACCGTGCGCCCACCTCTAAATCTTTGAATTATTTCTTTCCTCCACTATTTCCCCTCGAAACCACAATGGAGTCAGTTGCCGCCGATGAAACGGGTCCGCCCGAGACCACAGCATTGCAGCAACAGCCAACAGGACCGGTACGGATTCTTGTTCAGACGAAGACACACCTTGTGCCCGGCGATAAATACGCAGAGAGAATAGAGCGCATGCAAAACCTAATTTGCCAGCACCACTGGAATCGTGATTTCGATTGGGATCAAGACCGCTGGAATTTGTATGGTGCTGATTTTGGTTTTGACGACCGCACCTGCTACTTTCTCATGGACCATGGAGAGTCCCATACGGATCCTCCAGTTTTGTGGTATTCCTGGACGGGGGAGTCTTTGTTGGTAATCCCCATACCTCTATTAAGAGAGGGGCTCGTTCAACTAACATCATCCGCCTAATTAGTGTTGCTATTGAAGAACCTCTCCCCTCGGGGATACGGGCTCGTCTCCGGCGTTACCCATTTACAAGACAAGAGAGGGCGTTCAAACAACGTAGGAAAGCTTCACCGCGCGAAATCATTCAAGCTAAACTTGAAATCAACATGGAGATTACGGAGAAAGATATAGATTTCCTCAAGCAGCATCCCGAGGATGCAAGATGGCTAAAAAAGAATGTTGATTCTAGACATTGGCATAAGCTTGCGTCTCTTTGTAATTTTGTTGAAGAAGAATAACCTTCTCTTTGTGAAAAGAAAGGGGGGGACACCGAAAGCTTTCCTTGGACAATTGAGGAAAACTGCGCATTTTAACATGGTTTTGACAGCTCCTAGTAAGGTCTATATATCCTGTCGTTTGGTTTTGCCAGCTAACGTTGCATCTTATTGGGGCGGCACCCTTATTTATACCCAGATGCTCGATCGGCAGTCGCCTCTCTGTGCCTCCTCTTTAATTAGCCATCAGTTTGCTGCTGGAGGTAGCCTCGCCTCGATTTCCGGCTCAACCTGTCTTGTTGCTGGCAATCTACAATCTTTGACCCTTGAGCGGACCGATAATTGCGCAGTTCCCTTAATCCGAATAAGCAATTCCTAGAGATAGGTTATGGAGAGTGAGTTTATTATTGAGGTCATCCCCTCCATCTAACATGCTCTCCCCTCAGCTGCTGAGTTGCAATCTCAATGCCTGAAGGCCTTGAAGAACTCGACATGAAAGAGCAATTGATAAAAATGAAACACTATCAAACTAGAGAAAAGGAAAATCGCAAAGATGAGCATCCCACAATTATCACCAATTCGTCGATGTACCCTTCAAGCAAAACAAAGGAACTCAGATCTCTAAAGAGTATAAAGAGGGAAAGTATTGAGAAAAAAATTCAAAAAGAAAAGAAAAGAAATACAAAATGGCCTCAAGGAGGACGAGAGACCAATCACCGACTCGACATAGCTCGATCCTCAAGCTAATAATGGCCGAAACAATCGCACTCTTGGGTGAATGTCATCCACTCCCGCACGACCATCGTACCTCTTCCGCTGCAAGTACTACAATAGCAGTTCGCATCTTGATACCAGCCCCGACCGCGGCAGACTCCACAGTTCCTATTTCGACAGCAAATTCTCCTTTCCCGGAAGTTCGGGTTACCCTGACACCTTTCGCAAGTGCGAGTGACGTTCTGCCAACCCTGGGTTCTATATTCTCCCCTGCCGCGACAATAAGAGCAGTTTGGGTCGGGACGAGTCCTTCCGCGGCTCGACCCTGACCCTACACTGCTACCGCTCGAGCGAGGCATTGCGCAGCCTTTCCCTTCTTGGACTACCCCAGGTGTTAGCTGTAATCATTCCAACAGATGCTCTTCGGGAAACGCTACTTACAGGAGTTGGACTCGGCGAGGGCACTTAAAAGAAACGAAGATCAAGTTTGAGGGTCTTAGTCTCGTCGGAGGTCAAAGGAGTTTAACGAGAGATTCTGGAGAGCTCGTGAAGAAAAGCGAATAGCTAAGGTTAAGAATATGATATTGATAACTAAGTGAGTGTTGAGAGATGAAGAGCATTGATGCCATGAGCGATATCATCCGGCTTCTGCTAGGGGTATTTATATTGCAGTTTTCGGCCGTCGGTAGTAGCCATAGCGATGAACTTTACCCATGTAGAGGACAGCGAAGATGCCTGGACCATGGTTAGACTCCTCCATCAACGCAGCAAGCCTCAATCTCGGTGGTCTGGTGATGTTTGTTCATGGCGGTGTTCGAATACTGGCAGTGGTGGACAACAGGCAAACATGGCCATCTTTCCAACCATCCTGCAAGAAGATCAGAGACCTCTATCACGATAACGTCCACTTCATTGACCCAGCTTCCATTTCGGTTGGGGAGGCAGTTGGAAGCTGGTCGGGTGAGGTTGGGTGCTCTCCATACTGATCGAGGCGCAAGCCTACGGCCTTCGCTGATGACCTAGTGCGCATAATGTCAGTTGGTTCCTAGTTTAGCAAACGGACACAATATACAGAAATGCTCTTCCAATTCTCTCATGAGATATAGACTCATGATCCATCCAGGCCATTATGCTGTTGGCCCGATCCACCTTAATACACTTAGAGTGCCCTCCATAGTCTCCGAAGGCTCATTCTATTAACTCTAAAAAGTAGTCGGTGTTTATCACCAATTCTATAATAGTGTTCAGGCAGACTTCCTGGGAGATGCCATACTACAATATCACAGGACCAAACATGCCATTCAAGAATGGCACGCAGCGCTCAGAAATAAAGATGGCACCAGACAGGAGGCATCGCAAAAGGCGAGTGTGTTGGAGATGGGGTTGTTAGGAATCGATGGTCGCCTTACTCTCTAAATCTTTCTTCTTCCTTTTCCCACTACACAAATTTTGTATGAATTACTCCTATTTTCTTCGGAAAATCCTTTTTGCGTTCAGTCATCAAGTGGCCCAGAGTCTAACAGATGGAAACGCATCCAGCCTGATCTCCAAGCGTAAGGTGTAAGACTGTATTGACTTCCACATGAGGAATGGCGAGGCCTGCCACCCACACAACCGTCGCAAAGCCATTTGATCAACTCGCCCCGTAAGGTCTCGAGATGTGGCCGAGCGCGGCGGTGCCAGTTAGCCGTCCATCCTTGGAAGAAAATCAGGTTCCCAATAAAAATGTATGGTCTCCCGGGCCGTGAGTGTGTTTCATCTGCTGTGTTGACCCGCTCAGGGTCTGGCTCGCCCAGGGGCAGTAAACGACCTAACCAGCCTCAACTCAGCCCCTTGAGTTCAGGCAACCTTAGAAGCGCCAACCCCCGAGAAGATCAATGGGTGTTCTACGGGGAATCGTGCGCTTTTGCGCTTTGCAGGATACAGAGAACTACTATGCTCTTCAAGTTGCTGTGCCACCCTTCTTCCAACCTCTATTATGCTAACGCGTGGAGGACTTATTTATGTTTTCTTCGCTTCACAGCCAGGCGTACCTCTCACGAGTTTGAAAACAGCGCACAATGACGCGAAAAGCGAAGGCCCAACGATGGCCAGGCTGGAAGAGTGTAAGATTCTATGATGTAGTGTGGGGGAGGAGGCTGAGTTAAGACTTTGTGCATCTAAACTAACAGCTTCATGTGGAGTGATGGAGTGATGAGAAGTCACCCAGAGACGCCGGAGATTTTGTTCTTACCACTATGTTTCGTCATGAGACCATGGGCTCGAGGTAAAAGGCGAGGTGATTCAGTGGAGACTGGAGGGTGTCGAGATACTTCTCGTTAGAAGTGTCGAGTCTTCTCCATCTGGGTGGATTGGGGTGTAAATGTCTGTGACAGTGCGGACTCTTATCAGTTAATACAGTATATAAAATACCTTACATAATCGGCAGGCTTGTATCAGGTGGCGACAATTGTAAGCAGCTTCTCCATATTAATAATTTAACAGCTCCAAGTTCTTGATCTTGGGAAGAGCTTAGCTTCACGAGAACACCACTTCCAATATCTCCCAAAGAACCACACACGAACAACTTCACCATGACAGAATCGGAATCAACGGCGACCATGCCCGCGCCAGCGCCCGACGCGAAAGAACCCGCCGCCCCCATCGTCACCTTCAAAAAGCGGCGCGGAAAAGCCGACTCCAACCTCCGCAAGCGCCGCCCCGCGACGCCTCCTCCCGCCAGCGACAGCGACAGCGAGTCCTCGTCATCCGAAGACGAGACCGGCCAAAGAATAAAGAGGAGGAAGAAGAGCGCGGGCGTGACGGCCACTTCTTTAAAAGCGGAGAATGGGATCACTGATCGGGACCTGTTCGCCAGCGTTGCCGCGGATCGGAATAAGTCGCTGTCGGCATCGAACGACGCCACGAAGGAGAACCTCTTGGAGGTCGATACCGATGTGAGGAAGGGGAGGAAGATCGGCGCCGGAGAGGCCGGGACATCGGATGGGACATATAGGGGGTTGGCGAACCAGACCAAATTCTTCCAGACGAACCCGAATGCGCCGTCGCGGACGGTGGGGCCGGTCAAGGCGCCGACGAATGTGCGGACAGTGACGGTGATTGATTATGCTGCGGACACGTGTAAAGATTACAAGCAGACGGGATTCTGTGGCTTCGGCGACAACTGGTATGTCTCGTTTTCCCCCCCCTTCCTCCCATCTCAGTCTTGAAACGGGACAAAGAAGACTAACTTTGTTATAGTAAATTCCTACATTCTCGCGAAGACTACAAACAAGGCTGGCAACTAGACAAAGAATGGGAAACCGTGACCAAGGGCAAACAAGTCGGCGGCACCGTCGTCGCCAGCGCCGACCGGACCAAGACGGGCGAAGAAGAGGAAGAAGACGACGACGATGGCGAGGATATCCCCTTCGCGTGCTTCATCTGCAAGGAGCCGTACAAATCGCCCGTCGTCACGAGATGCGGACACTACTTTTGCGAGTCTTGCGCGCTGAAACGGTATCGGACGAATCCGAGCTGCGCGGCTTGCGGGGCTGGCACGGGAGGGGTGTTTAACGTGGCGAGAAAGCTGAAGAAGGCGGGGACATAATTCCTTTTTATTCGTGCGCCTACTTTGGAGGGGGCGTACGGAGTTTTGGTTCGCATGGTCGGGGTGATGGGAAGGGAGTTTGTTTTGTACAAAAATTATCACATCCTGAAAGTGAGGGTGGTCCAGAATGCTTGAAGAGTGGTTCAAATTCTATGTGACGGCGCGGTCACGGCACGAATGCAAGGGAAAGAATATCGGATTTCTAGAAAAAGCAATTAGAGACATGTATTTGTACAACACAGAGCAAACAGACCGTTGCGGGTCTCAAATACTTGGTATGTTGTCTTCCCGAGACTGGGACGATTTCGGACATATTTATTTCTTGGAACCGGAGCTTCTGCCCCGTCCAATGGTCCCTCCACTCGTCCTTGCGCCCCCCACTTCGGCCGGTCAAAGACAACGGCGAATCGTCGTGCCTCTCCTCGCTGCATTCCCACACACACCACTTGCAACTTGTGGGGATTCCTTAACCCGGCGTGGCGGAGGCAAAGAAACTGCAAACTGCGAGCTTTGAGCTCTTTATTGTCATGCAGCAAACCGCGTTCTTGATCGGGATCGACAGTCTCCAATCGAACAACTAGCCGATAGCCAGTGTTACATTTTCCAAGGCCGATCATTGATTTTTAGCGGACCCCCCTCCACGCCACCCCGGATTATTTTTCGCTGTGTCGAGCCGTTTGGTTGTCGACCCCATTGGGTTAGGCAAGGTGGATTGGGGGGGGAAGTCTGGCTCGGAGCGGGCAGGCATTTGCTTTAGTTCTTTCTTGTCCGCGCTGACCGGTCGTCTTCGTGCAGGTCCGTAGCGTCCTTCAGTGGCGAAACGGAACATTGAAGACTTACATGGAGGCGTGCTTAGCACGTTATTGGCCTGGAACGTTTTTTTGGATTCATTTTCCTTCCCCCTTTTCTTTTGTTCGGCTCTCGACCCCTTTTTCACCCTTCTGCGCCCTTTCCGCCATAGTGTTTGTTGGTTGTGGCAAAAGTAAGAGAGGCTAAGCGCAGTTCGTCGAGGGGGGATGGATAGGAAACAAGAGGAAAGCCAAAAATAGAGACTATGAGAGGGAACTAGATGGGGGCGCGAGGGGAAATGCAGTTAGACTGCAGGGGCCAAAACTAAAAGAGAGGAACACAAAGGGGACACAACGGCAGAACGAGGGGTCCAGATGGTGCCTTCCGGGTTCTATGATCTGATGTCCCACCAAGTGTGGTTGATTTCCTATTTCACATGGGACAAACATCAATGATCAAATGGAATGTATAATTGACTCCAATATTCCCCAACTCCTCCAGGTCACCACAGTTATCTACAACCTAATCACTATATTTGATCAATCAACATCAATGCCCATACAAAAGTACACATTCCCAACTTATACTTATACCCATATAAATCCATCTTTTGCACCTAGAGATTGCAATTCTCAACAACTTTGTCTCATCCAAACACACCAAGGACATTATCAATACAGGATATTCCCCCAATTCCAACTCACTCTAGCCTCTAGTCAAGCCACCACTGACCCCTGCAAGACCCTTGCAGAAACACCACCTCCCGCCCAGAAAGTCCATCCCAAAAACACAATGGGGACACCAGGCGCCCTCCTCGTCGTACCCCCCGTCACGCACCCCCACACCCACACTGTCATCTTCCTCCATGGCCGCGGCGACTCCGCCCGCAAATTCGCCGAAGGCCTGCACTACTTTGCTGACTCGCGCAACCGCTCCCTCTTCGAGATCTTCCCCAACTTCCGCTGGGTCTTCCCGCAAGCCCCGCTCTCGGCGCCCCTCTGCCTCCCTAACGACCGCGTAAACCAGTGGTTCGACGTATGGAACGTGCGCGACTACGCCGAGAAGGAAGAGGTGCAGGCGCCGGGGCTTAAGGAGAGCGTTAGCTACGTGCGGAGGTTGCTGGAGCAGGAGGCTGCGGCTCTGGGAGGTAGGTGGGATAGGGTTGTGTTGGCGGGGATTAGCCAGGGTGGGGCGACGTGTATGCATACGTTATTAAACATTAAGGGCTCGTTGATGAGGACGGGGACTACGACGAGTGGAACAGCAGGAGGAGGTGGAGGTGAAGGGGGAACAGACGGCGGTGGGGCGGCCGAAGGTCCGAGGTTAGGTGCCGTCATTGGTGTTTCTTGCAGGTTGCCGTTTCCGAGGGATACGCTGGCGGAGACGAGGAGGATAGTGGGCGTGTGGGAAGGGGACGAGACGGATGATGATGAGATTGAAGTCTTGAAGAATACGCCGATTCTGTTGGAGCATTGCGCCGATGATCCGCTCGTGTTGGTGGAGTCCGGACGGGCGTTGAGGGATAAGCTTGTCAAGTATGGCGGGCAGGTGACGTGGAAAGAATATCCGGATGGGGGCCACTGGTTGAATTGGCCGGCTGGAGCAGAGGACGTAGTGGCATTCTTGCAGATGGTGTTTAACTTGCCTCGTTGAGGGATGTCTATGCAACAGGCTTTGTTTCTTTTTCTCTTCATGTTCTTTATTTTCTCTGTCTGCTGCTGGCGTTTAGGGGATATGGACAATATCATAGCCGTTCGTTGTTCCCTCTTTTTGTTGCCCTTGCTCCTTGACTCTCGATTCACAGAAATAGATGGCTATTATGAATATAGCGAATACTCGACGTACCTCATCAGCCATCATCAGTGTGGCCCAGTGCCCTTCTCAAAACCTACATATGTTGGGGGTTTCGAGAGTGATCATTCCCAGGAATGCCTCTCCCCCAACTTACCCCCAACCCGCGCAAGCCTCGTGAATTCGGCTCAGAGTTGAATCAACGCACCACCTACTATGAAGAAACGAATTCAGGCTGGGAAATAATAATGACTTCGTGATATGACGGCGAGAGAAGGGCGGTGATCTTTGGCATGTCGACAAGCTCCCACTATTTTGTATACCAGGGATAGGAACCTTAAAAGCATATTATTAACTTACTACCACGCGACCGCATATTCTTTAGGATGACGACCAACCTTTAGAACAATCAACAATCATCAACATATATCAGAAAACTAGAGATAGAGTAAACATGTCCCCCAGATTATCCTAGCTAATCAAGCATTCCTGCTCGACTTGGCCTCGCTTGATTGAAGAGTCATCCCCCATTCTTTTGCCGGACATCTCCAAGATGCTCTCTGCCATGTAATGCTCCGGGCGTTCTCCATTAACCAGTCCCCCACCCGGCTGATTCTTTATCTTAAAGCTGGCGTAAAATTGGTATATAAGAAGACCAGCTGAAAATACCACTGGGACTAAACCAGGAATCAGAATCCATCTTCTCCCTCCGAGCCGCTTGACATCGATCTGTGCGTTTGCTGATATTTCCTTGTCTCCGTCGAGCGCAACAGCCGCCACCTTGTCTTCTAACAGGTCCATTTCAGAAACACTCAGGGCAACAATAACCCCTAGAGTGTCTTCCAATCTATTTCGACTGTTGTTAAACGCGTACGGCGGCCCGGCACACCGCACGGCGATCCGATGGATGGTAGCAAAGTAACCATCCAGGCGGTAGTTCTCCATAACCAACTTATATGGCGAGGTCATGGCTGTAATAATGTGGATGGTGCCGACACTGGGGTTTACAGGGGTGCACTTTTCACCGCCGCTTAAGAGACGGCTGTAGGAGATGTTGCCTTCTTCGGCGGCCCGTAGGTTGAGCGTGAAGTAGCGGTAGTCGAATGAGTCCTCATGGGGCTTTATGTGACATGTTACGACGTAGGTGGATGAGCCACTTTTGCCTGCGTTTTCGTCTGGGTCGTTGATGGTTCGGGCAAGGTCTTGCGCGAAGGGATTGTCGCCTTTAGGGTCGTTCCAAGCACTGGAGACGATGAATCCATCAATCTCGCAGTTGGCATTCCTCCCAACCCATAAATAGTTGATCATGACGCTGCTTTGGGATAGGTTCCGGGCAAATTGCACTTCCCGCTCCATACCCTCCAATAGTGGAATATCCAGGGTCAAGCGCAGCTTAGTTTCCTCGACCTTGTCCAATCTGCCTCCTCCTTTTTCACAAGTCACCGGGTTGGAAGTCATGACCGGAACGCGCTGGGTAATCTTGTTTAGAGATCGCCCGTAATCCCGGTCCAAGTCCTGGAACGCCGAGCCTCGAAAGATATGAACAGGGGCGCCCATCGCCGTGTTGCGAACAGCAACGCCCGTATCGACATACGCATGCTCGTCTGGGGTCTCGGGGTTGATGCCCGGCACGAGGGAAAGCATGCGTTCGCCGGGGCAGTCTCCCTCGGGGCGGGAAAAGAGAATTTGTCATGTGTGATCTACTTACAGCTAGACCATTTGACAACAAAAAGATGCTCCAAGTGTCGCGACCAGCGGCACTTGACTGTAAGTAGTCTTATATAGCCACCGCACCAGCTGTCCTTACAGAAATCCACCGTTGTCTAATTTAAAGTGGAAGACATTGCCTGGAATCTTCTTGTCGACTTGGCCAGCGCACGCATAGTCTTTCCCGGCAGAGGCTAGGGGGATGTTAGGTCCCGGTATGAAGGGGTGGTATTCAATTGTATCAACACCAGCAGTTGGGGTAAACGTCGAGACGATGACAGCCGTCAAGAGACCACAAATGGAATATATGGCGAAGTACATAAAGTTTCTCCCCTTTGTAAACCTCTCTTCAAAGCTGTCGATGCCCAACACCCCTCTGAATTTTATATCAAGCTTTTCGTTGATCTCGCCCCGTAGCTGTGTTTCGAGGCTACGTATGAAACCCTGTTGAATTCGACCTCTGACGATGGCGGTAAAAATCGTAGCAGCGATAGTCACTCCCGGTACAACGAATGGCGAATGGTCTGGAGGGGTGGTAACGATAGGTTGAGCGGAGATAGCCCACGTCAAGACGGAAAAAAACGCCCAAAACGGCCAAAATCACCGTGACGTCCGTGATCCATTGTAACTTTGGAGGAGACATTCCAGTTTTTATGGACGTTTGGGTAGCTAGAAGAATGAAGAATGAAGAATGGAGAGGGCAATTGGTCTCT